GGCACAGAGGTGTTGCCATGTGAAATGAGGCCCAGGAACTATCAGTCTTCTGAGGTTTTCAAGCACAATAGAACCAGCATAAAGATGCTCAAAGAAAGGATCTGACTGAACTTTGCAGTCCCAGACTCTCCTGAGTCTCACCTCACCCTCTCAACAGTATTATTTATCATTTATTTTTAGTTTCAATAAGAGGATCCTTCTTTATGATCATCCTGGTAATGTCCTTCAGGTTCAGAAATAATTTGATTTCAGGTTATGTTATTAAAACCATTTCTTTTTGGCTTTATTCATTTTATAGGTGCTGCCCTGCAGAACATACTGAGATAGAGCTTGCAGGAAGCTGAGCATCACCAGGAGCCCGGCCGTGAGGAACCAGAGGAACCAGCCCAGCTTTTCCTTGGTGGCAAAGAACCTCACCCCAGGACCAGGCATCTTCCCCTTGGGTATGACTCTACTCACTGATTTTCTGAGACCAATCCCAATGTGGAAGGATTCACGACTAATTTAATAATCAGCTTTTTATTTCTATGTGCACACCAGGTAAGGAAATAGTTGCTCTTCAGCTGGGATATGATGGTGACAGGAGTGGGGTTGGAATGTGTGATGAAAAAAGATATTTCAAAAGACTAAGGAAAAAAAAAGTCCATTGTTTGTGTGCCAAGTCTGCAAGTTCTGCATGACTTGTGAACCCCTGAGATCTGTGCCCTCTGAAACAATCTGGGGAACAGGGGATTGGCAACTGCTTCCTGGGCCGTGCATGAGATTGAGTTCTCTGTTCTGATCTCATCTGGACACACGGATTAATAAGGAAGATCGTTACTGGTGTCTGTCCTGAAGCAAGGAAGCATTCAAGGCAAGCACTTAAAACAAAGTAATTCATAGTTTAGAACATTCTAAGTTGTGCACTGCTGAGAGGAAAAAAATGCAGACCATGCCCCAGTTTTTAACAAGTTAACTTTTGATTTACGTTACTTTTTAAAAAATTACTTGCGTAATTGCTCTTTCAAGTGACACTAGTTACTTGGGAGAATTAGATGAAACATTTGCAAGTGTAAATATTCTGAAATGAAAGATTTAAATTGTGCCACCAGAAGTTCTCAGTAAGTGCTAGACACGGGTAGTTCAGGGTTGGGACCTGCATCAAGAGCCAGGTGAGAAGTGAATCTGAGTTGTGTGTTGCCTTGCTCCAGCAGTTCTGTCTGAGCAAGTGGAGAACTGTTCCTCCCCTCTCTGCAGCCCCAGGCACCAGGCACGGGTGTAGGAGAAGCTCCAGTTTTGCACAGGAAGGCTGCTGCAACCTGCAGCCAGCCCTGCTGGTTTGTGCATTACCAGAGAGAGGTCGAAAAGAGAGGCAGAGGCAGAGGCAGGCCTAGGTCTGAGAAAAATGGCATTAAACAGCACATCATCCTTTTCTTGGTGCTTGTTACTCTGATTTATTTTCTCTGGAGGTTTCTGGAGCCCAGCAGGGAAGTGGAGATTCCTTCCAGGTGTCTGTCACCTGGAGGGAGTAACCCAGGAGCACCAGCAGGAGCAGGACGCTCCTGCCTGGCCGGGTGGCATCCCAGGGCAGGTCCTTCTGCAAGGGCAAGGAGGGAGATGAGTCCTGTAAGTGACCATGGGCAAAGGCCATCACAGACAAGTTGACTTTTTAGATGTAATCTGGAATATTTATAATTGTTTTGCAATGCTGACTTGAATTTAAACCTCTACAACCATCCTACATTATTCTATCCCGGATCTCTGCAGTGGTTATATTCTAAGTGGTTATATTCTATATCAAAAGTACAAACACAGGGACTGAAACCATCCTTGTGGAAAAAAAAAATAAAAAAAAAATAAAAAAGAGTTATTTCACTAATGATAATTCTATTTTGATTTCTAGGTGCAGTTACACAAGAGATAGAGGAGAATTGGGACAAGGAGAACAAGAAGGAAGTTGTCATCCAAGAGTTCAAAGGTAGGTGGCTGATCAAAGGTTAAATACAAGAAAAGAAATTATTCTATTCAAGTTAAAGGCAGGACACTATAACCTAAATAGATGTTTTGCTTCAATTAAAACTCTTGGAAAAGGCTTTTGTACTGTGGGTAAGTTCTCAAAGTCAGGCAAAGTTTGTTTTTTATGGCTTGAAACGTTCAGAGGGCAGAGAGTGAGAGATGAGGCTGTCACTGGAGGGTGGGATGTCTCAATCTTCATTTGAAAATGTTTCTAGTTACGAAGGTAGAGGGCAGAACTGATCAGATCCATTCTACATGGCAGTGTGGAGAGGGAGTGGAAACACCTCATTTTCTAAGGTTAGAGGGGAAATAGGTAGGACCCATAAAAGCCTTTTCTCAAGCCTGATGGCAGCACCGTGAGCGGAAGGCAGAGGCTGGCAGTGAAAATGAGAAAAGGAGGAGCTGCGGGAGAGATCAGCTCAGTTGTGAGAGGTATTTCATTAAAGAAATCAGATGGAAACTTGGAGAGGAGGCAAGAGTTGCCTGGTATGAAAGATAACAAAGCATCCTTCCTGAGTGTCCCTGCCTGCCCAAGAATGAACCTGGGAATATTGGCTAGGAACAGACTAGTCTGAGAGCTTGTGTGTGCCGTGCAGGAGTCTGTTTTCATTCATTATTTAGTGCGAGGGAAATGTATAATTCTGAAGCATCAGGAGAGCCTGTGGCTGATGTCCTGCTGTGGGGACAGCCTGTTCCTGTGGTTGGCCAGGTTGGCTAAAGCCAGCCAGGCCCCTGCTGGCCATCCCTTGTCCCCAGGGAGTGACCACAGGTGATCCCAATGCAGCACAGAACAGTGTCACCTCAAACACCAAACCCAGCTGTGTTTCCTGACAGCACAGATCCTCCCAGAGCTTTGTTTTTCCAACCCTGTCTGTTTTAATCCAAATGTCCCAGCACAAAGGAGAGGAGAGATGTGTCAGGGTGTTGTGAGGAACTGGGTAGATCAAACAGGAGACAACAGAGAGGAGAGAAGAGATGGTGCAGCTGTTATTTTAAATGACTGTGCTGAGTTGTGCTGGCTTGTCAGAGGAGGCAGAAAGTGTCAGTACAGATATTTATTAAAGATACATTTGACAGTGTAAATATTGTTAAGAAATGCTACTTGTTTTCTCATGCATTAAAAATATTAACAGAATTAAATATATTAGTGAAAGCAATGACAGTGAAGGAAGCAAAATGGTTGGACTTGAGAAAGATTCTTTCCGATTTCCATTTGCTGGGTCCATGTCAAACATGTCCATGGCAAGTCACAGAGTGTTACTCCCCACTCCATTTCTGGTCATGAGGAAATAACACAAGCCATCCAAGTTCCATAATTTTTAGGCAGCAGCTCTTCTGGATTCAAACCAGCACTTTGTGGTCCTCAGTCCTAGACATTTATCCAAATACCAAAACAAGGTACAAGGTTTTTTTCCAAGTGATTTAATTCCAGCTCCTGTGGCTGCAGCCTGATGAGCCCAGGGGATGGATCCTCACTCTACATACAGGTTGGACACGTTCTGTGTTAACACAGCAGTTCCTCCAGCTCAGCTCTTCCCATGCCAGCAAAGAAAGCCACAGACCTGGAGGGACTCATCTGGACCAGGTTCTTTGCTCTTCTCCATCCCTGTGGTATTTTTAAGGTGCAATTTACAGCAAATAATGTTGCTAAAAAATACTGTTTTGGCTGTTCTTCCTGAATGTCTCTTTTCTTTGCCTTTCCTGCACCAAGTGCTCAGTGCAAATGGCTTCAAGTTTTTAAAAGAGCTGGAATATATTAGTATCAGTTGCTTTATGGCCTGACCCTGAATTCCAGGAGTTATATCTGTGGGATGAGATGGTGCAGTATATCCACCTGCAAGGTCTCATGAGATTATTATGAGGGAACCACTGGTCAGAGAGCATTTCTGAATTGCTTATTACGTAATTGTTATTATGTGCATAATGCCTGGAATGCATTAAAACTTCAGCTGAAATTACTCCAAATTTGAGAACAACACTATAGTAAGTTAAAAAACCTTTACATAATAGAATTTAAAATATTAATAATTTAAAGAATATATTTAGTGTGTGCATGTGTTTCCATTTACACATGTACTTACTAATTGTCTATGTGCAGCACAGACCAGATGTGTATTTAAACACTTGACCTTCCCACGTAGGACAATTTGGTGTGTTTTGTCCCTTTGGATTAATTTTTAAAGTTTCAATTTCAATCCATCATCAATCAGAAATTCGTAACGATTCATGAGATGTTGACTACTCAGCTGGTTTACTGCAAAATTTTGAAGCAGGAAGAATCCTTTAAATGAATCCTTAGCACAGTCACTAGAGGTTACTGCTGCCTCTGACAGCAGCTTCTGCCCATCAAATTTAATTTTAAACAGGCTTTACCAATCTGTTTGGATCACATGCTGTGCTCTTGGGATACAAAGAGTCTTTAACATGAATTACTATTATAGTAAACATAGGGCAACATTTCCCATAGTGAAATAAACACTCAGAGACCAACATTCACTAGTTAACCTTGAAACTTCAGGTTTAATTGTACAACTTTGCATCAAAACACAAGGGTACATGAACGTCTGGCTAAAGTAATAATAATTTAAAAAAACACCTTCAAATGACTTTTGCAAGTACCTCAGTATTTTATGGATCAACAACTTGAAACATAGTTTCATGCTAAATCAATAATCTGAAAACATTTACTTCTGCTTGGTGTGGCCTCAAATACTTCTCTATTGCAGTGACTTAGGCATAATTAAAAGTAAGATGAAAGTGAAATCTGGGCAGAATTATGGCCCCAAATCCATGTAGGTAACACCAACCATGTGGTTTTTTTTCAAAATTTGGCAAGGATTTAGTTAGCCAGAAATTCTACTCTGAGAAAACACAGAGTTTTAATTCAGTTCTCAGTTTTGAAAGATGAAGTTACACTGTTAAAAACACAGATCTGTGCATCACCTGGAGACCTTGTAGTTGGCCTCCAGCAACACTGCAACATGACTGCTCTGTACCCATCATACCTTCATAGGAACTGACTGTAACTGGTATGTTTGTTTATCAAAAAGTATTCTCAAGATGACACTCTGAAAATTGAAACAACGAGAAGATTCAGCAGTTTGGCCAGTGTTAGTTTGCAGGCATTTTAGCTCCACTGCACAGTGTAGTTTTTGCCTAATGCCAGCTGAAGCTTGGTGATTGTCAGGAGCTGTGAAACAAACAAACAGTTAGTAACTCTATCCTGAGGATCCACTGCTTTGTCTTTGTGCAATAGAGAATGTGGTGGCTTCTCATTCTCCCGGTCTACAAGAATTAATTCTCCTGCCTTTCATGTTTGTGTCACGGTAAACACAATTTAACCACCTTAGATTTGGGATGTCTGATGATGAGGCCCTGAGCCCTTCCCTTCATTCAGAGGGCCTTCTAGAACTGAGGTTCCTTTTTTTCCATCAAGAAAGCAGCAGCAGAATGAAACCCTTCCATTCTCTTTTACATTTTTAAATCCATCTTTTTTTTTTGTTATGCACAAAACTTATGTTAAGTCCTGACTTCCCAAGAAAGAGTGAAAGAACAAAGTCTTAACAGAATATTGGATTTCAAGGGAAGGGTGGTAAGACCCCAGTACCAAAGGAGGTTGAGCAGTCTCCCTCTACCAGAGAACTGGCAAGACTGAAAACCTCAGCAGTTGTGTTTGGGTTTGGAAACTGGGGAAGGGCAGCACAGCCCCACCCTGACCAGCTGCCCTCAGGAGGGCTTGTCTGGGTTGCCTGGGGAGGGGGTGGTCCCTGGGCAGCCCAGCCCATGCAGAGGTGGATCCCGGTGCTCTGATCCCAGGGGAAGGGAAGCTGGGAACTTTAGTAGATGTGGGATTTCACTCCTACATGTGAGAGCCCTGGGCTGCAACACCCACAGCCAAGATGGGACATGGCAGGGGAAGGAACAGTGGGAGGCAAATAGGGCTGGGAAATGGAATTGTTGTCAGACAAGGCTGACAATAACGGGGTCTTGTACAGATTATGAACATACTTGTAGTTGCTTTTCTTCCTTCACATCCCACAGAGTAGAAACCAAACACAAAAGAAAATCCACCACTTTCCCACTGTCAGAGGTACTTGGGGTTCCTTGACAGGAATTTCTGCACTTAAAAGCTCTACCACACTGACTGCACAACATGAACTGTCTGTTACGTAGCCGTTACCTGACAGCAGCTTGTGTGCCTCACTGAAATATATTTTAGAGATGGTAGGGCAGCTGAGAGCTGCATCTCCAGAGGCTGAGGAGCACACAGGCATTGCCCTGCAGCTGGCAGCTCACCTTCTTGGCTGCGTTGTAGTTCACGGTGTGAGGGGAGGGGATGGCCCCGCCGTTCTGCGACACCGTCACCTGCTTGACGCTGGTGGGAACCCCCAGGACTTTAATCTCACTGAACTTCAGGTTGTTTGGGTCAGTGTAACCATGATGGGAGACCTGGATATCTAAAACAGTCTGAAAGGAAAAGGCAAAAAAATCATGGGGATTGTCATTTGACTGGTTGAAGTCCTGTGCTTTTCAGTTGTTTTCCTCTCTTCCTATATATCTATTTCTAGGCAGCAAGCACCGCATAGACAAACCTTTCCTCCAGTTGTCACAGGGACAGCAGTTTTGCCTCATCTGGCTTCTCTGAGGCCTGATCCAGCCTCTGCTTTCCCTGTTTTATGCCCTCCCAGAACAGCTCCTCCTCCACAGCATCTCCCTCAGCACCCACAGGTCCTCTCCCATCTCCAGTGGCTGTGATTTTAGGTCCCTTTAGGGTGGGCCCAGGTCCAGCAGGTTGCTTGATTCAAAACCCCTTTCATTAGGATTTTTCTTAACAACTTTTGTAAGAGCAGGAAAAGGTGCATTTATCTTACATAATCTCTTTGTAACTGCAAATACTGAGAATTAGCAAAACATACTTCTCTTCCTTAGCAATTAACATCCAATTATTTGACAAAGACAGAATTAATGAGAAGAAAGAACAGTGTGGGTAAAATTAGAAGACATTCTGGCACCTTGGAAAACTAATGAAATAAAAAAGTGCATTTTCTGTTACAAAAAGAAAAAGCATTACTTTAAAACCTTTTAAACCAAAGTCCATATAATTACAGTCTAATTTAATTGCAGCTACTCAACTGGCTATGATAAAAACTGAAACCCAACATCCTAGAAATGCCAGTTCATTGAAATCCTGTTCATTGACCTGGTTACCCAGGAATGCCTGCCAGTTTTCTGTGTTGAAAAAGAAAGGAAAAGCATCCTGCCCTGAGGCAGCAGCTGCTGATTTTCCTGGCATGGCTGTTCTGACCCATCAACATGCTCCAGATGCTCTGCCCTGATGTGGGCTTTCCCTTGATAGAAACCATTTATGAAATAAACTTGTCCTTCAGAGTTATATCAGAAATTACAGTGCCATAAATGTACACCCTGTCTAACAATAGTGGTATCTTTGGAATCATTCTTAATGTTGTTCTTAACACAGTTTAATTATGTTACTTGTAATCTATTTGATTATCAGGGTGGGGTATCTAGACATGAGGAAGTCCCAAATTAAAATACCTATAGTTATATGTAGAATACTAATCACTTAAGGTGACTATTTAGACACTATGAGGTAGCATGACATACCTTTTTAGCAGTAAATGATGTTAGCAGATACACACCATCTTCATATGCATCTGTTAAAGAAAGGGTAAAATTAAATATATTCATTATTCACCTTAGTTAACACATTCTCAACATGGCAGTTCAAGATTTGTGTTCATGTCATACACAAATATTTGGTGTCTGTACATAAAGTTATTTATTTCCAGAAGACATAGGCTTTCAGACATAAAATGCTTTCTTGTAGGACTGCATGTTATTTAAATGAGGTAAAAATAAGAATATTTCAGAATTTGGATGCAGAAGAAGCAACCAAACAGCATTGGGAAGATCAAGGGTGTTAAGACCAGCCAGAGAAAAACATTTCTCACTGGAGAAGGCCCTGGAGTTGTCTCCCACATCCAACTCTATCCACTGTCCAGTGACACGTGACTGTGACAGAAGTTGCTGTTGCAGATTTTTATCAATCATTCATTCCATCAATTATTCAGCACTAAGTGCACTCCAGGTAGTGCTCATAAGCACGGGCATTGTAGGCTCTTGCCTTTCTGCACTGCCACAGGCAGATGACAGGCATCTTGGTGAGAGGGACCTTGCAATCTGTGCTAATTTCATTTCTCATCAGATTTCCATAAATGTAGCCATCATTTCTGAATTCCAGTGCTGGGCTGTATGTGAAGCACCTCAAAACACACCAAGAGCATCCTGCAAACTTCCCTGAACATCATTATGCAAAACAGCACCATTTGCTGCATTCCCTGCAGTAGCCTGGAGTGAGAGCTCATTGTTACTGCAAGGACAATAAACCCTGGATGGAATGGATAAACAACATTTAAGGGTCTCTTGTCTGAAGAGGATTTAAATGTACTAATGTTGAGGAAATTAGTTAAAGTTTCCCACATAATCTATGGTTATGGTTCCCATAGGTTTCAGGACAAAGCTTTGTTATCTTTGCTGCCTTAGGTCCAGGGCACAGTTTCCTTTATACAACATTAATTCTATAAATCATAGGATGGTGCTGTTTACATCAGGAAAAATCATTTTACTATAATGCTGATGTGAAGGTTGATTTGAGTTTTGTCTCTGATGGCCTGTCCAGGTATATCCTTCAGAAACATGATTGCTTTGGCCAGAGTCCATCATCCCCATCTGCTCCTAATGCTCCTTCTCAAACACCCCACATGACACTGAGGACTTCTGAGGCAGAAGCAACCACCAGCACTTCATGTCCAGGGAGATGGTGAGCAATGCACTTCCTTTCAGATTGGACTACCCACTTGGACAACTGTGTTACTGTGGACAACTGCAGACAGGAGAGCTCCTAAGACAGCTCCTGAGCATTATATGGGGTTTCAAGTTCCAGTTCATATCCTTGAGACTTTTTTGTCTACTTTAATTTGGGCTTTGAATACCTCCAAGGATATTGGAGGCCCAGCAGCCTCTCAGGGCATCCTATTGCAGTGTTTGACCCTCCTCTCAGCCAAGACAGGACTTTATGAAGGCAAGGAGCACCATACATACCGATGCGAACCCCGTCATCCCAGTACAGCTGTCCTTCTGCAAACTGGTTGTCATCCAAAGCCACAGTGAGGCCCAGTGGGTTCTTCCGGCTATGGAAAACACAAGAATGTTTCCTCAGTTTCCTCAGCCAATCACATTTCATATCTAGCAAGTGTTAGAGTTTTAAAGAGAGATTCTGTGCAACTCAGTTGATCTCCCACACCCATCTTCCTAAGCCATTACATGAAAGGAGACCATTTGGAGGAAAGCAGAAAATCAGCCATGAAGCTCCTCTAAGGAAGATTTAGATGGAAGGATTTAGATGGAAAACTACATTTTTAAATTTTCAGTTAACTTACCTGTAATAAGTTGTATTAGCAGGTGTTTGCCAAGCAAGGATGTGTCCCCCTCGGATGTGCAGGTTGATGTGGTCCAAAGGAGTTGGTAAAACTTTGAATTGTGCCCTAAAGCCAATGTCTTCATCCTAGTTACAAAAAAAACCAAACCAAGAGCAAAATACAGTAAGCTACTTGATTGCTCTCACTCTACAGGTTTTTTTTTAGAGTGAAATGATCATGTTTTGCTGCACAGATTAATTAGAAGTTGTTACTGCAGCAGTAACTACATAGTGCTTTTCTGAGAAAGAGCAGCTGGGCTGTGGGTGACAGCAGCTGGACCAAAGGGGCCAGCCAGGTGAAATGTGGCTAATGAAGTGATGGTTGGTGCCTGTCACCAAAGCTGCTCTTATTTTCTGTGAAGATGATGTAGATAAACCTGTTTTGTCTTTCTCCTTTCCAGCACTCCTTACAAAGACATTCTGGTTTTTGAGGGTTAACAAAAGTCAACAGAAGCACTTCAATCTAGAGGGATTATTTCAACGTCTAATTTCCCCTGCCTATGGTCATGTTGTTACCCGCTATTACACAGGAATCAAGGCTTTATTTTTTTTAATCAGCTCTGAAGATGTTACAGGGCTAAGAACTGATCCTGAATGTAAGTTTATAAAAGGGAAAGGGAAGGCTCACACCTTCACTCTCAGCACACCCTGCTGCTGTCTGAACTCCACAGTGAAGAAGACAGACACAATGTCATTTATAAATTGACTTACTGTGTAGTAATCGTACCAGCGGGCTCCAGGGATGTAGGCATTCACTGCCACAGCACCCTGCAATGAAACACACCTGCCTTAGGTACCTTAAATCAAAAAGTGAAGTTTAGCTAAAGTGAATTTCACATTTTTCATAAGTACCTTTTGCATCACAGGGCTGATGAGCAGTGCAGGCCCCCAGAGGAACTGCTCATAGATGTCCCAGGTGGTTCTGTCTTCCACAAACCTGCAAGTTAAGAGAACTAGGATTAGGCATTGGATGCTGAGCTTTTCCAGAAGTGCTCCTTCTTTAAGATATTTATGTATAAATTGAATCTACTATTCGTAGTATTTCCTCATCTTCATTCTAGTTTTAATAAGTCATAGATCAATTAATGCTTGTCAGGAATGCAGAAATTAATGCAAGAGAAATGCAGGCTACTGCTTAGCTTCCTTTTGTTGCTTTGCATTTGATTTCGGGATATTTACATCACAAAACTCAGAAGCTCCACTTTGCTTGGCAGGTATTAGCAACGGTAAGATCAGGTAGTGAACAGACTGCGAACTGCTTTCTGATTTGTGCCACTCTTTTCTTGGAGAGTCACTGAGAAAAACAGGTTAATAAATGCAGACAACTCAGTGTTCCTCAGCCGGTCCAGGAATGTACCAGACTACATCTCTCAGCAGAAGGAGTTGAAGCTTTTGCAAGGATTGCTCCTCCTGACCAGGAACAAAGGTGGCTTTGTGTGTCTAACAACATTCCTTTAAAAAATCAGCTGGATCAGCTCAGACACACAGACAGAAAAAGCCATTTTCCCCTGCAAAACTCATATGGTTTGTGGCAGAATTCCCTCTTTTTTGATGATTTTTTGATGCAGCTTTTGCTTTGCAACATTTGGGGTTTTTTACTCTATGCATTCCCAGGATCAGGTGAAACTTTTTTGTTGCTTCCTCCCAAAGTGGTTACTGATGAGCTTTAAAGTTTAAATATTACTCCTTGACAAGAAAATATGTTCAATTTTGTGTAATGAAAAATTGAGAACTTGTGCTGTTATTGAAAGATCATATTCTCAATCTTGTATTTTTATTTTTTTTTTACTTTATTTTTTAACTAAAACTTTACTGTTAGAAGAATTATAACTACTTTTAGTGGAAATTCCTTTTCCAGAGAGCAGAGGAATCACACTCACTCATGGAGCATGGGCCGGACCACAGTGCTGCCGTGGGCGTGGGCTTCATACAGCAGTGTGTAGAGGTAGGGTAACAGGGTGTATCTGATGTTCAGCACCTTCCTGGAAATATCCTCAAATGTAGAGTTCCAGGAAACAGGATCTTGCCTCTGAAAGAGAAGAGACCGCAGTAGTCAAGCAGGGTTGTTTTGTTCAGAAAACCTAAAAAAAACCAACCCCAAAAGCAAAGAAGCCAAAGAGCAGGTAAAAGAAATTGCTAATGTTTACAAGATATTTTCTTTCATGTTATTTTTCTCTCCAGACTCCACAGAACCTGTCAGCATCAGCAGTTACCAACCCTGCATCAAAACCAACACAGCAAGACAAAGCTGAGGAAATTTCTCCACTGAACTTGAGCACCTTCATTTATTTACTCTTCAGTCAAGGACTAAGTGACACTAAAGCAGCAGGGATCACTGTCAGCCCTAAGAGGGGAGTTAGAGAGAGGGAAGGTGAGAGAACCTGGAGGGAAGACTGTAAAAAATTCTGAATGCCAAGTGTCCCAAAGGCACATCCTAGTCAATGCACATCATTATCCCTCTTTTCTGCAGGGCAGCACTCAGGGCTTGAAGACAAGACCAAAGCACTCATGACTGATGTCAGGAGCACTCCCAGTTCTTATTAACTGTATTGCACAAAACCTTGGCAAATTGGGTAAGACTGCAAGCAACATGATAACCCTGAATCTGCATTTTTAAAGGCTCTCCAAGTCCTATCAGAAGGTGCTGCAGCAAGATAAAGCACAGGTCTGAAAAGGAGCCTTGAATCCATTCGATATATGCCATATAAACTGCTCTGCTCTGCTAGACCTGAAGCTTGAACTGGAATAGAAGAGCTGTTTCCATTTTTTTTAAATTTTCCAGATATCTTGTTTTACAGCTTTCTACCAGGTAGTCCTTAGCCAGCACAGATCTACATGTAGGCAATTCTTTCCCTTTACTCTTAAAAGAAAGACAGTATCTGATAGTGGCAGAAACTGCTGAGTCCTGCTCCAGAATCTCACTGCACTGTTTCATTTTCTCTTTTCTTGTATAATTAATTGTGGACATTTAGGGCTGAGAGCACCAAGGTCAGTTTTGCTCCTTTAAGTGTGTTTGCCATAGAAGTGCTCTCTTTTAGTCTGACTGGTGTGTACAGAAAATGGCAGGCAGGGAAAAACAGGCAGCAGTTGGATTCAGCCAAAGCAAACTTAGCATGTGCTTCCTTCATGTGGTCCAAATCCCAGAGCAGCCCCTCTATGGGCATAAACCCTCCTGGGTGAGGGGGATGCTTCCAGCAGAGCTAGCTTATAAGTAAAGACATTTGTTTGATAAAGAGCCAAATGTGTTTTTTCTCATCCAGTTTTTGGAATGTAGGGTGTTTGGTTTTTTTTGTGGCAGGCCAACTTGTGCAGTGTTGTGGCTGGGCTTTAGGTGTGTGTGTGGCAAAGGCCCAGCCTCTAACAGCCATTAAGAAGCTGCCTCTCACCCTGGTTACTTTCTCATTGTGGTTCCTCGAGTATGGGTAGAAGGCGCCCAGCAGCGTCCAGCGAACACACAGCTCGTACTCCGAGTCTTTGGAGAAGCCACAGATGTCAGCTCCTGTCTGAAGGTTTAAAAAGGATCCCGTTGGAATGCTATAAATTATTATACAGCATCAAGATAATAAAATGTAAAGTAATAACTCATTAGCTTACGTAAGATATTCCAAAGAGACTGAACTCCATCATACCTGAAAGGAGAAATAATTCAGTGTTACTGGCTGGTTGTTTTCCCTCTCAATGTGGAATGAGAAGAAGAAACCAAACACAAATCCCATGACTTCTCTAATGTATCATGTGTTTCTGCTGCAGAAAGAGAAGGGAGATGGTTGCTCAGGAGCAAAGAAATGAGTTGCAGGACACAGTGTCCTGGTTGACTGATCCCAAAGGAATAAAAGAGCTTCCAGCAACAGATGCAGAAAGAAAGAAGTAAACCAGGAACTGGCCAACAGTGCTTGATGCTGAAGGGCTTAGCTCAGCAATACCACATGAATACTGAGAGCAAGTAGATGAAGGAAAAGACCTGACTGCACACAGTAAACTGAACACACGTCCTTTCCTTCTACTCACCAATGACTGACTTGGGTAGCTGATCCCAAGCTGCCGTGTTGTCACCCAGCCAGTGTCCTGCCCATCTGCCGCTGCTGGGGTACGTGGAGCGGCTGACAACGATCCCACGCTCCTTGGTGGCACTTTGCACAGCTCTGAGAGTGAAAGGAACACAGGAAAAACCCACTTTACATGAGAAGTACTAGGTGAGAACTTACTCTCTTTGAGGATAAACACAAAGGCTTCTGTTTTTACAGAGAAGGGCAGCACTGGTGCATGACTGTGCCTGCATCCAGTCCCGTGGTGCTCTGCACAGCGGGTCCCTGGGATTCACACCTACACAGAAGCTCAGCAGTGTCAGCCAACCTGCAGCTGGAGAGAACTGGCAGAACAAGGAGGTGCTAAAATACAGATTTGCAGCTCAAGATAGTTATTGTGTGGGAAAATAGGTATGTGGCCCAACTTGCACCTTTTCTAAGAGCTTCATGATGTGATCTAGGGCACATCATTCCTTTCTTAAAGTACCTGAAACCTTCCAGCAACATGGAAAAAGTAATAAAACTCATGTCAGGATCATAAGGGGGGAAATAAATGTTCCAGGAATATTTGACTCTGTTTGCCAAAAAAACAACAACAAAAAAAGTCATGGCTCTGTGGTCACTTCAGAAACATCATGATGCCATCAATATGAAATGACCAGCATGGATTTGTCTCAGAGTAAACAAAACAAGAGTTTTTCAGGCAGAAGATGGTTACAGGCCTCACAGCTGAAGAGTGACTACCAGTGTGTGTGATCACCTTGTCACTAGCTGACCTCTTTGTCTGATCACATTTGGCCTCCTCAAAGCAGCAGACATTTCTGCGAGCCATTGGTAACCATTTGCGGGTGGTGGGACCTACTACTCTTCCTGAAATTAGAGGCAAAAAAACCTACAGGGTGGGAGATGTGCAGGTGCTCTGGTTTGGGGGACAGAAGGACACCAGCAAGGACTCCCATGGCCTCTTCTAGATGCTCTGGCACTCAAACCCTCTAGCCTTGCCCAGGATCATTGCTATTGGGAGGGCAGACTGACTTGCCAATGACCACCCCATACCTCAATAAGCAATAATAATAAAAATGTATCATAAAATAAAGCCTTGGCCATTGCCACAAAGTACCTGCACAGGTAGCCAAGTAAGCTTTAGGGAAATAACTGCTTTGAGGAGAATTTATGGTTTCTAGTTGCTCTGCCAAGGCTACAAAGCACCTTTCTCTGCTGGTCTGGGCTGTGCGACTGCTGTGGATTCCTCACTGCTCCATGTTCTCAGCAGAATTCCCTTGCAGCCCTGCACACGTACTGTGAATCATTCCAGCAAAATACTAAACCACAACACCAGTGAGAAAGCTGCACTGAGACAATCACACTGCTCCACAAGCATTGCCTAAGCAGCTGCTTCAGTAAGGCACTATTTATTTATTTCTCCACAGGATTTGCAGCTTTAGTGACACTATAATTACAGCAAAAACACTAGTCACTTAAATTACCATAGTAATTAAACTAGACTAATGTGCTGTAATTATTTCTCCCAAGACAAACAGTAAGTTTTCTAATATGTTTTATTTCTTTGTAAAGTTCTATCAAACATTTTCAACCTCTGCATGGTTTACCCTCCTTCAACAGTGATTTGGAAATTGCTGATAGAATTTCAAATGTAAGGAAAGTGTATATTGTGTGCAGAACTGCTCCAGGATGAGCAGGGACAGAGTGTTTTGCTGACTGAGGTGGCAGCTCTGCTTCAGGACAAAGCCACCTGTATCCAGGAAAGGCTCTTGCTCACATCACAAAGCCCAAATTTACCTCCAGTTACTACATTCACTAGTAAGGGTTCTGGCTTTCAAGTCTATGCAAAAGCCCTGTTACAAAGCAATAGCATTAAGTCAGAGGGCAGAAGCTCCCTCTGTTTAACAATGGGAGAACAAAAACTTACATCTTTACATTAGAAAACTGATGTTCATTTTTAAGTTACAGGCTTTTTTGAGTTTTGCATACAAGTGACCATTTTCTCTGGATGGTTTTGTATAAATTATTACTACAACTTCACTTGCACAAGTGCTTCTTCAATTATTACCAAAGAACACATTGGGAGACCCACCTCATCTTCTGCACATCCTTTCCTGCAGCTCAGGTCCCTGCACCCTGCTTGCACCATGGGCAAGATCAGTGTGCTGTCTGACCAGTAGCATCACTGGAGTAACACCAGCTGCAAGAGGTACAGCCCTGCTGGGAAAACTTGAATAGCAAACTCCACTTCTAGCTGAATTGACCAATCAAAGATACTAGGGTGACGGAAAGATTTCCCAGGCATGTTACATCAACTGTTGAAAGTTTTGGCCATAAGAATGCAGACACAAAATACATATTTTTGAGATGAGAAAGTATGTAAACTTCACTTACTCTAGGGTAGGTTTTGTTTGTGACCATCCATAAAGACTGTGGACATCATAGTGTCTCACTGGGGTGCCATCTGGAAGATACTGTTGGCCTTCCATGCATGGAGTTTTGACAGTTAATCCATCTGATCTGTATCCCAAATCTAATGGAAAGGGAACAAAAATACTTTTTAATTATGACCATTCAATACTTTTAGTTTCTTTCTCTTCATTTTCATAATCTCATTGGCATTTATACTGCAATTTATTGCTTTATAAAAGTAGCGTTTCCAAAATGGAATATTCCTTTGTAGGCATCTGGGGCTGTCAGTGTGCTGATAACTCAGTTGCAGATGCTCTTGCTGGAGAAGCTGAAAGAGGAAATGGAGTCTATACAAATTCAGAAGATATTGCAGATCTTTGTCAACACTGTCACATCATCCAGAGAAACAAAAATGGATGTGGGGGGGTGATCTGTGTCTGAGTGTTAAGTTCCTGACAATTCCTGAGAAACCAGTCATCTAACTCCAAACAACAGTAAGCAACAGGAATATGCCAATAAACCACTAATGATAATTACTAATTAGCATTACTTTACACGTGTACTTAAGTGAAGCCAAGCTAAGTATTTCAAGTATTTGATTGTACAGACATGGTAATGAGAGGAGGCCAAGGAAATTTTCTAAATTTCTAATTAATTGCATTATTCATCTGAGAAAACTGCAAAAAGAGAACTCCATTCTCTGCCATGCCCAAAGCAAAGCACCTGGCTAGAAAACAGGTATCAAAGTCCATATGCAGGCAAGCAGCTGAAAAGAACTTTATTTTTAAAAGCTGCCATGCTGTTACTGCTCCCCCTGAAACAGATAAGCTGAAATGTGCCCATAATCTCAGCAAGAAAAGGGGCACTTGCAGTTAGGAGTTGTGGTTTTCTACACCTAACTTCAGGCATTTATGCCACATAAGAAATTATGTAGAACCCAGAATGAAAACTGGATTGAGGAGTGATCATACTCACGTGGCATATATGGTGGCATGTTGAGGAGGTCATTTCTGCAGCCACCAATGGCACCATTCATAAGAGCTGCTGGTTCATTCATGTCCTGAAAACACAGAGCAAAATCTGAGTGTATTTGCTTCAAACCTACAACACACACTAAATAATAAATCACAAACAAGCAGCCTTGTAGAAGTCCTCAGGAGCCCTTGCAGCTCTGGTCTCAGTCTGCTGTTCCATGTTCTCTTGACACATTCACAAAGTGTTGCAAGAGAAGAACAGGGAGTCTGAGCTCTGTTTCCCCTCTGCAAACAGGGTCACAGCAGAGGAAAAAAATGTCACAATACCCCAAGGCACTGCAACTGTAAAACCTAGAGCCAAAGTGGTTCTACCTGGTGCTCTGCTGTTTTTCATTTTATTTCATGGCAATTTAATGCCAGACACCCCCAGAGCTCCAGCAGCAGAACATGTACAGTGGAATACGGTGCTCTCTGCAGAGAGAAAATATCCAGGAATCCAATGCATTACTACACTTACAATCCACAGGCCATCAAACTTGATGCTTCTCGAGGGGTCGGTGGGATTGTTGTAGAACTCCAGGATCTCTCTCTTCCACCAGTTCACTGTGGAATTGCGGAAGAAGTCTGGGAAAGCAGTATGTGCTCCATAGAGCTGTAAAAGCAGCAGGAAAATTAAATAGCTGCAGGATTGAAAGCACCTCACTGTTAAAATGTTGGCATTTGTTTTAAAAATTTGAATGTTTAAAAAAAATAATAAAAAATAATTGTTAACAATTTTTTTCTTGGCTCTGCTAGGAAAGCCAGCAGTTTGTTCCTCCCACTAGATTTATCAACTAGTTCACTGCTGTTTTCCTTAATTAAAGTGCTGCTCTGTCTATATTTGAGTCCATAACCAAACCAAATCAACACTTACCTGGATTTGGGTGGGCAGAGGCAGTGACTCGTTGATTTGTACATTGGGAAGAAATGGCCAGACCTGACAGGACAAAGAAGATTTTAAAATAATCAGACCACCCTGAATAGAAACTTAGCATCAGCAACAGACATATAAAACCATTGTTCCTTGATATGTGTGTGAATGATAACACAAGCTGAAGCCAGTTCAGTTTGCAGTATTTATTCAATGTGTCATTTCCAGCCAGGCACGAAGGAGCCTTTCCCCCTATGGCTCACACTGACGTCCAGGCTGGCATGTGGCTAACATAGATGGACCCTCTACTGTCACCAGCTTTTTAAGAACAGTACCTTGGAATATATGATGTCATTGGTATTGGGCCACTTTATGAAGACATCATCCTGCACACCTCTTGAGAAGGGAGGATAATTGGTTTCATTTCCAGAGATGCCTGGATCCTGCAATTACAAACACTTTTACCCTAATACTAAATAAATAAAAAACAGTTTAGAAATGCAGTTGAATGTATTCTGCATTCTGTAATAATACATTGAAATTTAAAACCAGTATTCAAAACTGACCAGGATAATGATAAATCTCATTCCTTCTTCTTTTATTTTCTTGATCAGAGCAGGTAATCCAGCAAAGTGTGGGCTGATGGTGAAGTCCATTTGCCTTTCCATGTGGTCAATATCAACATATTGGACATCCTGCAGTTCACAAAAACAGTTCATGGCATATGATTTTTTTTTTTTTCTCTTTTCCCAAATACTTACTGAAAATCTGCCAAAAAAAGCAAACTACTGAACTTTTGAACTGTAAAATTGGAAGCAGCTAAACTTAAGGCTAAAATCATTAAATTAATATGACACAACCCATCAGCAAGTCCAATACAAAATGAACTTTTCCCTACTGCATCCAGCCTGAGGGTAGAAATTAATATCTGAGAGAGAGAAAAGTCCTGGATTTGAACATGTATAAGTACACAGAAACTGCACATATGCTACCATATCTATAAGGGAACAGGTGTTCTGTATTTAAACAGTGATGTTAATTACATTTAAACTGAAGTCACGTTTGATTTACAGTAGAGTTTTGTTAGATCTATGTGCTATTCCAACTTTCCCAACAACAACCTCTGCCAAATCAGAGCTGACTTGGCAAAGAACAACCCACCACTGCAAGGATGCTGCTGATTTTCTTTGCTGCTTGTTGCTCTTGTCCATCACTGCTCTGTCACAGCCAGCATGGCAAGAGTACACGACTGACTGAGGCACCTGAGTGCTTTGTGATGAATGATAAGGAAAACAAAGCAGCTTAGAGCCAACATTTAACAGCCCACAGTGTGCAGAGATGTTAAACTCTGGCATAAAACAGTCTGCTCCTCTACCATGGTAGTGGGTTTTTTTGGTTGGTTTTTGATTTTGTGATTAACTAGTCTTAGATAATACTATGAATCCAGAAGTTGAGGCATGAGCTGAAACGTTAACACTAGCAGCATACATAGGGAATCCTGGCTGCCTTCATGCTCTCCACCAGCTGGGCAACTTCTGAGTCGTTGCTGTATCCAAAGCGGCACAATTGGAATCCCAGAGCCCAGTAGGGTGGCATGACCGGTCGTCCAATCAGCTAGAAAGGAGACAGAGTATTTGTGGTGGGTAGGTGAAAACAAAACAATCCAACCAAAAACCAGCATTAGGTTGGTAAGGATCTCACTTCAGTGTACTCCTGGACAACAAGTTCTGGTGTTGGGCCCAAAACCATGTAGAAGTCAAGAATTCCTCCAGTGGTGCGGTACGTCAGGGCGGGGGTCGGCTGGAATGTCACATCTGGAGATGGAGGAGGTGAAATGAGACAAGGATGCCTGGATTCCCCACGGTTGCAAAACACTGGCCATACAAATAAACACACTGAGACAATAAGGCAAAGGTTTTCTTACCCATTGCATTGCTGTTAAGCAAGAGAACTCCATGGGCATTGCCCTCTTCCTCAAGAGCCATGTAAAATGGCTGATAACCATAGGAATTCAGTTTGTACTGCACACAAAGTAAAATGCATGTTACTGGGGAAACACTGCAAGCATTCACTTATTTATATTCATTAGTAAATGGAATAAAAAAACAAGACACTCTGCCAAACATGCAAATAAACTCCAAAATTACCTACTTGAACCCTACATACCTACAAAACATACCTATAGAAGATCACTTTCAGCTTCACAATTTGAGTCACACTTGTTCAGACTGACCAGGCAAGAAGGAAAGCAAAGTTTTTTCTACCTTTAAAACTTGCTAATGAGAAAGTGCTCCCCCAGGACAAAACTTTCCCTTCTTTTCAAACAGTAGCAGGTGTCTATATGATCAGGAGATGCTGGTGACTTTCTGTTATCTTTCATTTACTCAAAAATATATTAAAATCTGAACTGGAAATTAGAGCTACAATAAACCACCACTGTTTCATTGGTCATTCCCTGCAAATTGCAAGCATTGTGCTGTCTCGTAGGAAGTAACACAAGTACAAGCACAGACATAAGGTTTCTGATGTACTTCTGTAATTACTAAATTAATCCCAAGGTAGTAGGATTTGACCTGACTCATGTCTAGCTTTCAGAATAATTAGCTGGAAGAAGGAGAAATGTGCTGCTATTTCTAAGCCATCTGTTGTCTTCTGACATCTAACTCAGAGCCTGGTCTTGCTGGTCCTAAAGAGTAGGTTTAAAGAAGACCATTGCCACTGAGGCACCATCCACATTCTAAGCCACAATAAATGCAGTCAAAGCCAGTCGGTGTGTCCAGTACCAGCAGACACCCACTGGACTTTGAAGTCCTGTTGAACATCTCCACACGTGAGGCTTGCTGGTCAAAAAGCCACATTTACTTCTACTTACAGTAGGAGCCTCGTCCCTGGTGAACATTCCCCAGGTGTGCCAGCTCATGTTCCTTCTGAACATGGTGTGCTCAGTCTCTCCAAATCCATAGATATACTGGGATGGTAAGCGGGTAGAAATCTGGATGAACATGTCGCTGAAGGTGAAGGTGGGCAGTGCTGAATCCCAGCTGCAAAGGAGACAAGGAAATAAGAAGACAGCAGCTCAGGGCTGTGTTGAGTTGGTAGACACTTTTTCTTAGGCTACTCATTTTTTTTTCTTTGAAAAATCTCACTCTTCAGTAAAGCTGGAATAAAACTATGGCTATCAATGAAACGTTGAGCACATGGCATAGGGATGTCCAAGAATTTGAATCACCATTTAGAGATACACAGTCCTCTGTGTCACTCAGAGGTACATTATGCACAGGCATGATGCATCATATGTTGGTAATTTAGTGAGAAAATGTTTTTCAGGACAGTATGATCAGATTTTCTTCCAAGACTGATCCTTAGTGCCACGTGGAATATAGTAAATAAGATGCTTTTACAGTTAACTGGAATTTTTGTGCAGATTACAATGAAACTGTAGTCACAGGTCATACTCATTTGCTGTAATTTGCATCTCTGCAGTTGGAAACTGAGCTGTAACCAGATGATGCTGTGCCAAAGAAGTTCATCATTCTAGGAGGCTGAATGGCAGTCCGAATTATTGCTCTGGTTGGCAAAAGGGAACTCAGCTTGCAATCAAGTTTTGAGCACTTTTAAAAATGTCATAAGAAATATTTTTTTTGAAAAAAAATAAATAAAATAACACAGACAACTGCTAACATTATAGTGCTCCATTTTCTAGCTCTGACTTAAGCTTAATCAGAAAGAAATTAAGCTCCTGTCAGACTTACAAGGTGTCATGTTAACAAAATCCATCTGCCAGTTAGTTGAGACACTACTTTCTTCTTTTTTTTTTTTTTCCTAAGAGTTCCCCAAAACATAATCAAGTTATTAATTTAATGATATGTGCTGTGGTCACCTAAGGAAAATTTTAGGAAGTGTAGAAAATTGTTGTGTCTCCCAGAGTCTTGGGTACTACACAAGAAATGGCCTTTGGAGTTGTCTGTGTTCTGCCCTTCTTAGCAAGGGTCAGACTATATATGACAGGAGAGAAATCTTAGAAAACAAGAAAAAACAGGATGTTACTCAGAGCACCTTCTCCATCCTGCCCTTGGCCAGTGCTCTCCTACAACACAATGGTGAAACCATCTCCTCTGGAGCAGCACCTGGCACTTGGCAGTCAGAGCCATTTGGGGGGAAGGATACAAAACTCAGCCTCGAGGTATTGAGAACGTACCACACAAAAAAACCCTGGTTTGGCTTGAAAAGAGCTACCAAACCCAAGTGAAATAAAAGAAAAAGGCTGTGGCTCACATGACTGCTCCTGTGCTTCTGCGCCGAACCTGAATCCCAAAAGGTTTCACCTGGAGGGACACGTCGTAGAGCCGCCCCTTCTCCGTGCCCGCGGGGGAGCGCGGCAGGTTGAGTGGCACCGGAACCTCGTATCGGGCGTTCTGATAATCATAGATCTGCCAAGCAGAAATCAGGTTGTTTCAATGAATGAGCTTTTGGAAACGTTATCTATAGTGGTAGAAGTCTGAGGCAGTCACAATGAATACAGAATATTGCTGAAAATGTTTGATGAGGGAGTGTTTTGTCTCAATAAATATTCTTTAACCAATTATTTCACAGCGTTTGGTTTGGGAAAAAAACACAAACCCAACCTGGAGGATTTCTTTTGGATCAGGAATGACTTATGGATTTATATATATAAATATATTTATGTATATCTTTATATGTGTATATATGTATACATATTAATTTAAAGTATATACCTATAAAAAAATATAGGTGTATGTACGTGTGTGTGTGTGCGTATATATACATATACATCAAAGTATGTTAAATACCCTGCTGATTAATCTTTTAGCCAACTTTAAGAGACTCTTTCTAGTTTTCTATATTCAGAAAACTGACAGAAGTCAGTTTTTGGTGCCTGATCATTTCAAGACTTGACACTTATTTCAGCATTATTAAATGCACAGTAATAAATGACAGTCTAAACAATGATGTACTAAAAAATTCAGAAGTAGAATGATTAATGCAAAAATAAATTGTACAGTCATGATAATGCTTATAGGTAAAATTACCTCTATACTAATAAAATGTTCTTGGTTCCAGTGTTTCTGGTTGACTTTACACATATACATCGACATTATACCTTTGATTAATTTCATTTGCTTGTATAACTGAATGCAGAATTATAGGATTAAAAAAAAAATGTGAGGCAAGAGTACTAAAACCAACTTGAATAGAGGTAGAAATGCATTTAGACAAGGGTGCTACTATGTAATATAAAATTGACTATAAAAAGCCCTTATAATTTCCATAAATCAGACTATCTCTAACAATGGGACGTCACAAACTCATAGAAAGTCTGAAATGACATTACCTTAAATTGCAGCATGTTGTTGAGATGATATTTCACCTCCAAGCGCAGTGTGCTAATTGGTTTAGTGAAATTCTCATTAGCTCTGTTCTTGTTGCTGTTTAAGATGAGGTTGGCTGTAACACCTGATGAGGTGTATTCTACTTTGTCTGCAGAGTAAGCATTGTCAGAGCTGTAATAGCAGTCTGGAACATCAGGGTTTGATGGTTCTGGCTGCAAACACAAGTTACAGGTTAGTGAGCTACTCTGGCCTGCTCTATCTTTTGTTAGTTATTAGCATGGATTCCAAACCAAGATATCAGCCAACTGTAGAATTTGAGAAAAAGCTTAATGCACATATTTAATAAAGAACCCACTGTTTTCTACACTAAATCAGCCATATGCAAACAACACTGCCAAGACTGTACAATAATTTAGTCAGGAAACTGAATCCTCAGACAAGAGAGGTGGATGTTACTTCCCTGTAACAGCAGCTTCCCTGAGCTGATCTTCAGCTCAGTCACACAATATGTTTTAGTCTTGACCTCTTGTAATTCCTAAAACTTCCTCCCTTTTAATCTGATACTCTCTGGTTCACACAAGAGGATGTATCCAAAACCCATTATGTATTCAGGCAACATCAGATGAGATCTTTCCATTGGTTTTATTCATATGAATTATCCTTAAAATATCCATTGAGAACTAACATCCTATTTATCTCAGATCTCCTAAGATCACAAGTACTTACGGTTTCCTGCTACACTTGACCATTAACACTCAGCCTGGGTATCCTGAGGTTAGATGAGCTGCTGGAGGTTAATGCATTAGCCTGCCACCTCTGGACACTCTCCATCAATCCTGCCTAGTTGTTCAAATTAAACTACGTCTGCTCTGCACATCTTAATCACTAATGAGTATTTATTCATCTGTCGTCACCAAAATCAAAGTGCCTTTCAACCTGAGCAAGGGTTCAGAACATACTCTGTCCATAATTGCACCACAGTTCCAGGTCACAGGAAATTTCCAAATGTCAAAAATTACCAAAAAAATATTCCTAATAGTGCAACAAAATCAGGGCAGTTCATCACCTGCTTCAGCCATTGCTGGTTCAAGAAGAGCCAACAGAGAATGTTGGCTTTCATGCCTAGGATAGGACTTCAGATTTGGAGGACCAATTCAGTCAGAAGCCTCTGCAGAAGGCACATGGCTCCTGTGTGTTTATGGCCATGGGATAGTCATGAGTGAAACTATGTGTCAAAGAACTGCAGTGCCAGTGAGGCAGAAGAGGTAGAGGAAGATGTTGATCTCAAGCCTTTCCTATTTTTTCATAACTGTAATATTGTATCTTTCTATCTTTTAAAAAATACCACATTTTCCCGCAACTCCTGCTTTGCTTTGTAAGAACTCATGCAATTGCCAACTGCCTTAGTTTAAGTGAAGTCAGGTCTGATCAGCTGATATTTGTACCCTCATTTTATTCAAATCTGACAAATCTGCCAGGCTACTTTTCCCACTGTAAGAATTATAAATAGGAACATGTCTGTCTCATTAGCTTAAAGAAATAAGTTGTGCTTACTTTCCAGACACAGCCGAGTTGTTCACATTTTTCTTGTGTTGGATTGGGACTGGGATAACAATTAAACCTTTCATTAATACTCTGTTGTTGTGTCCATTTCACTGTGTAAGATTTTCCCAGTTCAAGTTTAAGTCCTGCTATGTGAGCAACCTATGAATATTAAACCACAGTTATTACATCCCATATCACATCCATAATTTTCTTCAGTCAGCAGAGATGCCAGTTCTCTGGAACAATCCATGTTGCTACATGGCAACTCACAAAAAAACCCATCCTGTAATATTTGATGCTGACTCAGTTTTACAAATGCACACAACTGATATTGCAGATAAAATCTGAAAAAAAAGTAAGAATGTAAAACCGTGGAGTCAATCCCACAGCTTTCTTGGAAGCAAAGAGGAACAAAGGGCATCACTCCTTTACATTTTGAACTATGAATGCAACAGGTAAGAAAACCTTTAATTGTGATTAAGGAACTGAGGTAACATAATAGGTAACTCAGGTGTTTATGAAGATGAAAGGGGGTGTACAGTGCAAGTGCAAAGCAATGTCAGCATGTCCATGAATGCTTCCCACTAGCAGCAGCATGTTGGGTTGCTTTGCATATCAGCAGTCTTAGTGCTTTCCTGTATTCACCCTGTGAAAAAGTCTATTATGAAGTGATAAAAGAAGTTTAAACAGTGTGCTTGAATTTGTTTTTAAAAAACTAAAAATGCACACCATAAATAATTTGAATCCTCCTCCACTGTAAAACAAAATCACAAAGCTGTTCCTCATCTCAGTAATTAATTTTTGCTACATGAATAACTGCATAATCAAACTTTCTGTTCCACTGAGGGGCTGAGAGCAAAACAGATGCAGCTGAATTGAATGCAATTGCACTTTTGTTCTGTAATAAAATACAAGACATTTTCTGTTGAAATGACATCAGTACTGGGTACTCTCTTTAGCAATGTGTACAATAAAGGAGATGCAATTTACAAATGTGTACTTCCCCTTTCCCTGTTTTTGCCTTACCTTTGCTTGGGGGTCATAGGTGATATTGAGTGGATAATTTTCCTCAACATTGTTCTGAGATACAGTAACTGTCTTTATTTCCTGGGGCACTCCCAATATCTTGATTTCTTCAAATGTCAAGTTGTTTGGATCAATGTATTTGCTGTTTATAGCATCCATTTGTAGAACAGGCTGGGGGGCGGGGGGGAAAGAAAAAAAAAAAAAAAGTGATCACATTCTTATAAAAATATCTGCCAAAAATCCTTATTTGACTTTATTTTTTTCGAATCAGATCATCATACTGTAGCATAAAGTAAGCAAATACCTTCTTCATAACATCAATCATTGCCATAGTTGTTCCACACAATAATGGTGTTCTAGCTTGTATATAACATGCCTCACGTTTGTACTTCAGTTTCCTTTTTCTTTTTTTTCTTTTTTGGAGATAAAAAAAGGCTGGCACGTGCCTGTGGCAGGGCAGGTAACCTCTGCACAGCTGTGATCTCTCTGGGTTCTAACAAGTGAAGGTTCACATTCGGTTTCTCTGATAACAAAATTCCTGTTCAACTGCATTCGTTATTAGTAGATTAAGAGTCCAAAGAGCAGAACTGTACCATGGCTGTCATGTATGCCAGTGCATAACTTTCTTCTTACTCTCCATGTGAAAGTGTATGTTAATTTTTAATTCAATATCATTACAGTCAACTGATGACTTGGTTAGGAGAGTTTCAAACTCCAGTAGTAACTGAGGTTTCTTACCTACAAATGACAATATGATTATGTAACTGTATAATTCTTATAAAAAGAAATAATGAGTGCATGTGCTTCCACCTTTTATTACTTTGCTTCCCCTCCCATGTTTCTATTCATTCTCTCTCAGTTGTTGCCCTGCTGTTTCACCATGGCAAGGGAAAAAATACTTTTATTAGATCCCATTATTGTACAAATGGTTTGTTATCATATTGCTTGGATTCCTTGCCATATGGTAACTCCAGTCAATATCAAATAGAAAGACTATCTGGACTTCACTCTGCCAGAAACTGATCCTGCCAAGGCAGTGTCTGTTTTAAAAAAATGAAGAAATTAAAACTTAATCTTGAAGTAGATCCAGTGGATTCAGACAAGGTGTAGGTCTCCTTCTCACTCTTTGGAAATAGCTATATTTTTACAGTGTAAAAGATTTATTTTTTTTAATTTCCAAGATTTCACAGGTCACAAATACTATACAACTCCTTTTGGACTCTGCTTTAACTGACAATGATGCCTTGTCTTTCACTTGCTGAATAAATATTGCTGCAGAGTTTGCTATGTGAAAAAGGAATCCTTCAGATCCTTCTGTTAACTGGGAGAAGAAAAGACAAATAGCAGATTTTCATCCCAGTTAAATTCCAGTAATTTGAACATGCCTCCACCTTTGCTTTTGCTTCTCAGGAAATACAGGAGACTAAGAAGGGAGAAAAGAATGCCCTTTGAAGATACTATTGATAAAAATCAAACATGAAAATAAAATACTTACATTGGAAACTGTAAAGTCATAGTAAATGTAGGCTTTGCTGTCAACTGTACCTAAAAGGTAAAAAAAAGAAGTGACATTTGCAGTGCAGAGGGGAACAGCATTAAAAACAGGACTGTGCTACAGCTAAAGACCTATAAATTGCTAATTAGCATCATTACTGCATTCGGAGGCTGCACTGAGCAACTCAAATATTTACTAATGTTTCCTTGAGGAACTGAACTTTTTTTTTTTTTACTTTTTTTTTTCCTTAGGCCAGTCTCCCAGAACATTTAATTTTCCAACTTTATCAAAATATTCACTGAAGTCAGCGTTTCTAAAGTCTACTAATTGTTTAATTTACTGTTACTCCTTCTTAGCCTTCCTTAAATGTAGATGTATGGCTCAAAGTTCATCCATTAAAACACCCCAAATAAGCACTTTTCCTGAAAAAAATGAGAATAATAATAATCTATGGCATGGAACCATAAGAGAGGACATAACAGGCCACTGGGAAAAAGAAAAAGCAAAAGTTGAGTCAATGTCTCATTTATTTTCCAAGTATTAAAAAGAAAAATACTGTCACTGAAACAAAGTGTAAACAGTTTCCCTGAAAAGCCTGCAACCTGTAAGTCTGGGGCAGGAAATAACATCCTAAGATGTTTTATTGTTTTGTTTCTCAACTGAAGTGGGTAGAATAACAGCTCAGTTATTTTAGGCCATGACAAAGGAGTCCATACAGCTGTCACCCACACACAGAGCAACCACCCAAGGCTTCAAATATTGATGGCAGCAATAATCCCCCAAATCACAGCTGGATTTCTTAAAAGTGTCCCAAACAACCACAAAATTTTAAGGACGCAGAGGGCTGAAAGTTTTCCTGGGATGCTTAAACACCAAAAGGGATTTATAGAGATTGAATGCATAATGTAGAGGACAAGGGAGCTGTGCAATTAGGAAAGGGAGATGCACTTTGGAACCCCAAGATTTGCTTGCTTTCATGGAAGCTGAGTCAGAGCTCTGGACCTTTTACAAATGAAACAAAAAGATTGTGACTAAGGATAAAAGTAGCTTTTGGCAACTGGAAGATAAACTGGAGAAAGTGGACCTCTAAAATACCTAGAAGAAGGTGGTTAGTTGTATCAGAAGACAAATGTAAGCAAGCAGTAATTCAGATTCCACCTGTGGAAGGACACTGGTGAAATTAATTCACATGGGAAAATCTGTCATCTCCTGAACATCTGAAAATGTCTCCTGAAAACATGCTTCCATAGTTAGACACCTTCTGTATAAAATACCCCCAGTTATCACTGTCTGCAGGATCTCTGCCTAATTTGTGGGAGTTTTCATTTTTATCTCAATGGTAATATTACTTTGACTTCATTCTTATCTGTACATTCTTACTATTGCAGATTTTTCTGTTTTCTAACCTACATTTATTTCAGTGCAGCTGAGGAAAGCTCTGACAGTTTTGCCACAGCAGTCTATGGATAGAGTAGGACAGGAACTAGAGAGGATTGGGTCTACTTGAAATGCAGCAGTTTTAGCTGGCACACACAAGAAACCAAAGTCCTGAGCTCTGAATGTCATGGTTCATTGCAAATAAAGAGATAAAATCTTGAAATACAAGTCCTTAAATAACTTTCATACAAACGTGACTATTTTTTAAAAGTTCTTCAAAAGATCATTTCAGAATAACCCTTTGAACAGCTCACTGACTTCTCTAAAAAGTATATAATACAAAAGCAGCCTAAAGGATTTAAGTACCCCAAATCTTTTTTTAGTCTAATGGAAACAGGATGCCTAACTAAATCCTTGGAAATCCCACAGAAAAATCCCACAGGTCAAGATTCTTCATTTTTGAAAATTTCCTTCATCTCAAGGTTAACATGAAGAATACATCTATGGATAAATCATGGAAAGGTTCTTTCCATTGCTCTAGGATGAACTCTGCCTTCCTTAGACAGCCATGTATTCCAAAAGCATTAACTTTACTGAAAGCTGAAACCTTAAATTAGAGGTTTAACCTTAAATTAGAGGTCTTCTTTTTTCCTACTTGTATTAAGTTGCAACCTTAGTCTTACACTAGACAAAAAGGTATGTGTGTTTTAAAATTGTTTGACAGAAAAAAGCTAGTGAGGTAAATATTGTTGATGCCAGTTCATGACAAGAGGTGAGGTTGACAGGCTTTGGCATAATCATAGTGACTATCCCACAGGGAAACAAATTCTCCAGCAGCTTCACTAAAGCTTCACTAAAGGTGAGGTTGGCAACATGACAACTTGAGCCTGTACACCCTTGCTCGTGTGCTTATAGGATGCTGTGGAAACCAGATGGCATAAAAAACATTGGCTCCAATACTGTATTTTTGAGTAAAAAAAAAATAAAAAATTGGTTGTTTTCACAAGCAATTTAAATAATTTCAGAGAGTTAATAACAGTGCTAGTTTTTAATCTTCTATCAATTCTTAGTGTGAAACACTAATTACATGTGTTCTTACACCCATTGAAACTGATGAGGAGATAGTCACGTTTCCACTTGAAAGTGGTGAAAAAAAAAAGTGGTCAAGAAATAACAACTTGATTGCTCCATGTAATCATCAGGAACATTAAAATTTGTACATGTGAATGTTTTGCTAATCATGCTTATTTTACTATTATAACTGCTCACCTGTGGATTCTCCATCATCCCAGAACAAGTTCCCAGAAGCAGCTTGGTTGTCATCCAGAGCAATTATAAGTCCCATTGGATTCTTGCGACTGTGGAGAGACTCTGTCTCACATGTCTATCAAATACCTGAACAGTCTTAACAGATCCTTCATGTTACAGAAGTGACACTCAATAGGGTTGCAATACTGAGAATTGCCTTAGATTAGCCCTTGGTTGTCTTTCTTTTTCATGTAAGTGGACAAAAATACATGGCTATGTTTGTTTGCTATGCAAACAAACCTGTAATTAATCGTTGAACTTGCAACATAAGCAGTTGTGGAAGTGAGATGTGCCTCACAGTTCTACCCATATTTAAAGGGGAAAATACTGAATAGACTGGGCTGCTACTGACTGGTGAAAGTCCTCAGCTCAGCCTTGGAAAAAGGCCCAGAAAAGCATTTTTGAAGCTTACCTTGCAACTGTTGTGCTAGCTGGCTGTTGAGTAGGGTAAACATAGCCTCCTCTCAAATGGAGCCCCATTTTGTCTGCTGGCAGGTGCAGGTAAGTCCACTGTTTTCTGATGAAGATTTTTGCCCCCTTATTGACAGGGATGTAAAAGAGAACGGGCATGTTGCATTAGTCACTGCTGTGCATGGTTTCTGAAGTCCTAAGTTTCATCTTAATGTTTCCTTCTAGAAAAGCCTTGAGTTACGTGCCAATGGGCACATAAAGAAAAAACAACCCCATATCAATATGAGTAAATGCTATAAATCTACATCTCCCACTATTTGCTTTGGGCTCAGTCAATGAAGAGCAAGTTCTGTTGGGACTTTGACATTAATATAGGAATCTGATTGAACAATGTCCTTTTTTTACCCATCAAAGGGCTCATCACAGCAGCAGGAAAATTATTTGCAGAAATGAGATTAGTAAAGAATCATTGCAAACTCTCATGTATTATGATTATAATTATTCTATTTCATTTTATTTCCAAAATGGTCTTTGCTAAAGTTTCCACTCAACATCCCTTCCTGGTTTCTGCACTATATTCCTCACCTCTGTGCCTTTTTCTTGAGGCATTGACTCATGCACTTGCCCCACCACCCTTCAGCCCTCATCTCACCATTTCCTTCCTGCAGGCACTACTCAGGGACTGTCCCCAGAGCAAGGCTGACAATCTCATTTTGTTACATAGTCATTTAGAAAAATCTTCCCATTTACTTACTGTATCATACTCATACCAAACTGCATCAGGAATATATGCTCTAGTTTCATTCACGCCCTGAAAGGTGAGCAAAGAAACAACTTTAGCATTAGAAGGCAACTTGATCAAATAAACTAAACTTTCCAATAGAACTGAAGTTCACATTGAGAAAATAATTGATACTTCACTGTTTTCTTTAAGGGTTTTATGATGATGCCCAGAAAGGAAGACAGTAATCCAAGTACAATTCCTGCAAAGCCACTGGGAGACAACTGAGTCACTGCTCTACAATGCAGCAGCTCATTGCATGCAGCCCATAGTCACAATGCTTCAAATCCACAAGTATCTCCATATATCTTCTTTATTCTCACATTTTTCTGGGCTGGCATCTTTCAGAATCTTGCTTCCATTTTATGTATTAAAAAAATGTTTTGTGTGTCTTCCTGGCACATGTGTTACTGGCATTAACAATCATAATTTACAAGATTCTGCCACAGAATAAGACACAATCTATTTGTTTTCTTGTTGCATCACAGACAAACTGAAATGCAGCAAGAGAAGCTGATTTGGAAGGAAATTCAGACATGATAGAAAGTTGAGGTGAATCAGAATATGAGACAAGATGACTCTGACTCCCTAGAGGACTGGAAAATAGGAGTAGGATTTAATAGCAGAAAGTGTAAGATTCTCCATTTGAACAGTGTTAAAAATATGCTGTGGGCTCTCCCACTGGAAACAATAAATGGAAGAGGGAAAAACAACAAAAAAGAAGCAAAACCTAGGTTTGTAAGGAATCCATCAACAGCCTTAAGTCAGTAATGTGATATTCCAGTATAAAAAAAACCCCATGTTTGCACTGGAGATAACACATTATGTGTTAATGCTAATAAACATGACCCTCTGCAATCTCTTTGCCAATAGACTTTACAGGTCTGGTCAAGACAGAAGAGTTCAAACTAATATAGGTCCAGAGCAAATTTCCTGGGATCCTCAGGGAAATGGCAGAGCTTCCTTTTGCAATTCAGCTTGTTCAGCATAACAAAGGAGAAGGGACTGTGATTTCAGTAGGAAATGCACCTCCTATAGTTATAATCTTCAACCTGAAGAACATAATCTTCTCAAAACTGAACAATAAAGGCTCAAAACTGGAAGGTGGTTTCTAATCAGAACATATGAGGAGCGACAGGAATAATATAACTTGGGGACTTCATGCTGCAGTTCCCTGCCAGAGAAAAGAGCTGGAACTGGTGACTCAATGTGTCTTTCTGCCCTGTGAAGTGGTGATGAGGTAGACACCAAAACAACCAAACCTACCGGATCAAGTACAGGGGAAATAAGCAGGCCAGGACCCCATAGGAATTGCCTATCAATGCCCCAAGTCTCTTCATCAGTGTAGAACCTGGGCACAGGGGAAGAAGATAACAATAGCTGTTTTGTAATGAACTTTGCCATCAGCAGCAAGTCCAGTATTTCAGGGTATTGATTGTCCAGAATCAACCTGAAGATGAGAAGCTAAAGTCTTCCTTTAGCAAGTATTGTCTACACGTGTGAAAAGTGTGGCTGTTCATGTGTTCTTGACCCAGCTTACTCCAGATTATGCAGGGAAAGAATCATATGTTCTTATACAATTATATATATTATAAATACAATATAACTTATTAACTGACAATAACATGTCATAGCAACTATAAGAGTGACAGACACACAAATATATATATATATATGTGCAGAAACTACAGATGGTCTCTGATTATTCAGATTACTTCAAAATGGTATTTCATGAATTGGGAAGTTGTCCATATGTATTCCAATGCACATTTTAACAGACTACATCAGGGTTTTTTTCATAGTCTCTAATAATATTTAATATATCTGATTTTTTTATTCCTATTTATAAAATTATCAGAAAGGCTGATGAATAAACTTACTCATGCAAAACTGGCCGTACGACTGTGTCCCCTTGAGTATGAGCTTTATAGAAGAGTGTGTACAGATAGGGCAGCAAAGTGTAGCGAATGTTCAAGTAATACTTGGAAGTTTTCACCAAGACTGAATCAGGTCCAAATGCAGCTGGATCTTGAGACTGAAAACACATATCAGATGATTACTATCATTATCATTATCACCATAGTTACACAGAAAACACAATGTGAAACATGAAAAGTGGCTGCTGTTTCAGAGAGGTAGAAATTCCGTGATGCACATCTTCACAGCATTTGCCTTCTGCGTGGTGTGACCTTAGGTCCTACTTCTCTGGGCTCCCTGTTTTTCACTGCACACTCCTCCTTGCCCATCTGCAAGGAGGTCCCATCAGGGTTAGGCTGGGTTTCACCCTGGCGTGCAGTCAGGTGTATGCCAAAAGGCTCCCAAGAGCCAGTCTGATGGGTCACACAGCAAGGAGTGCTTGCCCTTGGTGGCGACCACAACCATGGTGATGAAACTGTTGCCAAATAAGTGTAGTCCCAAATAGATGCAATTAACTCTTATGAAACTGAGCCTCTCAGACATAAGATTTCATAAGGAGAGCTTAAGGTTCTGCTGTTTTCAAACTGGTCAGCTAGAGCATTATTATTGGTAGTCATGATTACTAGTGACACTATTAAAGGGTAGTGTAACACAAAGCGTTTTGTAAGAGACAGCAAAACTTACCATGAATCCTTCTGCATTGTGATTCCTGGAAAATGGGTAAAATGCTCCTACTTGCATCCATCGTCTGCAAAGTTCTTCTGTGGTGTTGTCAAAGAAACCACAAATATCTGCTCCAATCTTTAAATGAAACCAGAAAGTGTTGGGTGTATTTATGTCTTTCTTCTTTCAAATTCAGCTATGTTGTACACAAAGCCAAACTGTTTACTAGCTACTGCCCTCCCTGGAGATGGGTGAGGCTTGTGCAACTTGTTCTAGTGGGAAGTGTCCCTGCTCATAGCAGGGAGGTTGGAACCTGATGCTCTTTAAGGTCCCTTCCAACCTTCACCATTCTATGATTCTGTGGTTGTTCTATTTCTTCCAAACCTTTATCTTCCTGTTTGGAGCTAACGTGCACACATTAGGAAAAAATCTCAAGCATCAAACAAACTTAAATAATGGAAAGGAATTTAGCTATTTCCCTTATAAATGGATGTCTCTATGTCATTTGAAATAAGGAAAACACCAAAGTGTTTGAAGATTACTCGAAGTAACAGGTAGCTTGGGACATATAAGATTATATGTATTCACAGTTTTATGTATTTCATGTATCCACAGTTATCTCACCATACACACACAGCCTTAGTAATAAGTGGCCTAAACCAAAAATTAATAATTAGAAAAAAAATGTTAAAACCAAATTACTAAAGGGGATTAATTTGGAGCTGAAAATGTAAGAAATCTAAATAGTGATTGATGAGATAATCTGTTATAACAGAGGCAGAGTTACTGATTCTCTATGTTTTTTAAGGATGGCACAAACTAATGTCATACATAAGGAAATCCAAAGAGGTTAAACTCCAGCATTCCAGGTATTGCCCATCTTAGATGTTCCCATGTTGCTGCATTATCTCCCAGCCAGTGTCCTGTGTGCTTTCCTGATCCAACAAAAGTAGACCTTGAAATAATGAAGCTTCTTTTTCCAGGAAACACTGTCTGGATGGCTCTTAAAAGGAAATGAGACTCGAATTATGTGAAGAAAAAAAGGAACTCTGACATCAATAGTTTTATATAAGACAGAATTTTCCTGGCTGATACACAACAATTTCTCATCCCAGAGATATGGACTTCTTTACAGTTCACCAGGTGTCTTTTAGCAAAGTTCAAGACATTAGTTTTAAAAAGTCTTTCAATCTAGCTTTGATAACCAAGGTGTGGCTTTTACTGCCAGCTTTAGTTAGTAGGTTTTGCCTCAGTTGCATTGGCTTAAATGCAACGCAGGATTTTCCAGGAACTGGGTTCCTTTAGAACTGAAATCTCTTGCTGTTTTGGAAAATACAGACCATTTACTGTTCTGAAACCTTTTTGTAAAGATTTTAGGATGCATTCCTTACTTCTGTGTTGATATGGCCATAGAATATCCATAAAGACTGTGGACATCATAATGCTTCCCCCACTTCTGCTGTGCATCCATACAAAGCGTCTTGGAAAACATGAGCCTGTCGACAATATCTTCAATAAAGAAATTAAAATATCACTTTTAAAGTACATTTTAATTAAGAATATTTCTAATTTTTAACTTACAGCACATTCCTGACATTGAAGCCCTTTTTTTAGTGTTTGCACTGAGGCCATAGTGCTACCACTACAAAAATAAAAATGTTACTCTTGGCTGTTGGTTCAATTAATCTTTGCTCTGTGACCTTTCCTACTGTTAAGCTTTCTACCCATGCAAGGAATAACTGAGAATTGGACTCTACATTTCTGAATTAACTGACAACACTTACTTAAACCTACTACTTAATACAAACTATGAAGTCAATTTTAGTTCTGCATCAATCTCAAAAACTGCTGATAGTGAAAGAAGATCATTACATTACCAGACATAATAAAGGCAATGATGATATTCAGTAGTAACTTGAAAAGGGGAAAAAAATCAGCTATATACACCATACCTTTGACAAGGGCTAAAGTATGCTGGCATTTTCTGTCAATGGTAATGTTCAGACCCCACCCATAAGAACTACACTAAAATCACTTTGCATCCCTGTAGTCAAATGCATAGTAATGCATCCATTTTTTGATATTTTGCTTTCTGGTTAAAGCAGATGGACTTACTGGGAGTGAATGGAGGATAGTTTAAGTCATTCTTTGAACATCCCTTTACTGAACCTTGAACGAAGTTGGATACTTCATTCATATCCTGAAAAGATAAGATGCAGAATGTAATAAAATGTCCCCAATTATGTTTTTCTAACAAAGTCTTACATTCTGTTCTCCCACCCTGTAAGGAATATGTGAATAGAACTTGTACCACGCAATTAGGCAAGAATGATACAACTTCAGATACTGATCTAGCCCATTCCTGCATGAATACAGGTCTCAGTGTTGGACAGACCTCTATATGCAGGTGAGCATCATGTCACAAAAGCTATATCTTGTCCCTCCACAGAAAGAAATTGCAAGAGGTGCTCGAGTGTATTGTCCCTATCTATAACCAACTCCACACATCTCTCAAGGAAAAGTGTATTTGGTGGAGTGTCTGTGGAGAGACCTGCAGAACCATCAAGTCTACAATGTTCCCTTCTGTCAAAACACACAAGGTGACTAGATATTCTTAAACATCTCCTTCATAATACTTTCCAGGCCACTACATTTTAAAATTTTTGCTGTCCCCTTCCACAAATACTTTATTTGGTAGTGACGTAAATGTATCTCTGTGTGCATCCCTGAACCTGCTGCAGGAGATGCATGGAAGAGAGCAAATTCATCATGGAGGCACTGCAGTCTGGTAGCCAATTTGCTTAAATCTCTGTCAGAGAGCTGTGCAATCTTACACTTCATAGCTTGACTTGATGGAACCAGAGAGTTGGCAAAAATAAGTGAGAAAAAGTGGTTCTATCACATAGCAGCTGAACGGTTGTATTTTGCCATACAGGTTAATGTAAAATTGTTACAATTTTTTTTAAAGTATGGCAAAATATTCAGTAGATTCTTGTTTTCTTTCAAAAGATTTATTTAAGTAAAAGGAAGTAGGAAAAAAATACAAAAATCATAAAGTGAAGAAGGTATTGAGACAGGGATTGAGAAGTTTAAGTACAGAATTCCTTCAGGTACAGACTTTCAGAAGCTTTATTACAGGTTATTCCTTTAAAAAACAAATCCAGTCAGTCCAAATATTCTTAACCTCAGCTCATTTCCATGAACTGCACCTAAAATCCACTATGCAAGACTGTTTTAGTTCTTTTGTGGAAGAATTTTTGAATGGACGTTTATTTTTCCAAATCCTTGTCTGGAATAGCAATTGCGTATTCACTAACTGGAAATTCCATAAGCTACTGGGAGCACAGACACAGATCATATATATTATACTCAGAATCCAGACTCTGTTTAGCACACATTCACAGACCAGGCATGCAGGTCTCCAAACATTGCCATTCTGAGCACAGGAGTGTGCTGGCATTTGCCTCTAGCAGTGGTTCATCAATTGAAGCATTTTAAAGTGTCACTGAATATTCAAAAAACAGCATGTGGATCATTTAAGTGTCACAATTAATTCTTCAAATTAAAATTTAACATTCAAATATGAATTGCAAATTCAACACCAGAAGACACACACATCCTGCACTGATTCCAGATTAGTAATAGTAAACATTCCTTTCAAATTCAATTCAAATTGAATTTGATAAACATCTATCCTTGCCTATTTTTTTTTTTCTAAATAAAAATAAAGAAGGAAGTTCTGAATGACTTACAATCCAGATCCCATCATAAGGCACTATGTCATAGAACCGTTTGCACTCATCCACCCACCAGGTAGTGCACTCTGGGTTGGTGAAGTCTGGAAAAACAGTTTCCCCTGGCCACACCTGCAGTATTAAAAGGGAAATATTAATTAATATTAAAAAGAGTTCACAGGAACATAGAACAGCCCAAGTTGGAAGGGATCTTGAAAGATCATCTGGTCCCACCTTTCATGGGAAAGGGAACTTAGATGAGTCTGCACCCTGTCTAATTGCATCTTGAAAACCTCCAGTGACAGGGACTCTACCACACCCCTGGGCGGGTGTTTCCAGTGACTGATTGTTCTCACTGTAAAAAAGGTGTAACTTCTACATATGCCTCTTGTAGTTCCCATGTGGCTCCATGTGAAGAGAGAACCTCTGTCCTCTTTGTAGCCACTCCTTAAATACTGGAATACTGTGATGAAGCCCCACAACTCCCCTGAGCCTTCTCTAGGGAGAAAAGACCTCACTCCTTCAGTCTTTCCTATTAGAGCAGGTTCTCCAGCCCTCTGACCATCTTCATGGCCTCCTTTGGATCCTCTCCAGTCTGTCTGCATCTTTTTTGAATTGTGGGGACCAGAACTGGACAAAGTACTCCAGGGGCAGCCTGACAAGCCCTGAAAAGAGCGGGATGATTAAACATCTGTCAATGCTAGTAATGCCCCTGGGGTTGAAGCCCAGGATCCAATTTGCCTTTGATGCTGCAGCAGCAAACTGTTGACTCATGTTCAGGCTGTTGTCCACCAGGACACTCCTACTGAGCCACTGAAGGCAGTGCTAACCTAGTGCTCTGATGAAGACTTTTGAATGACAAACAGCTAGAGTGACAATAGCTTGCCTGGAGTAAGAAGGCAGAAAGAATATTAATTTCTTAACTTCAGAGTTTCCAATTGCTTCTCTTTAAAGTCATACAAGAACACCATACAAGGAACAATACACAACAGAAAAATATCTCCATTTAAGTTAAAGTTGTAAATTGAAAGGATAATGTGGGAGGTGGCTTTTCAGTCAATACTGACAATCAATAGGAGCTGGCTGATGAATTGTCCCCTGACCCTTCAAACTGCCTTAGTTTAGGAAAATAAAATAATCAAGGAAGGTTGAGAGGTATCCCCATCCTAAGACCTTATCAACTTTTTCTCATTGGCAGGTAACTTTACTGAAAGAAGCAACTTAGGAGAGTTTAATGGCAGCTCCCTGACCCAAATTAAAACATAAGAGGGACAACAAACCAAGTTCAAACTCATAAAAACTTGATTACCTCCCCAACTAATGTTGTCACTCCATCTGATTCGTTAACCCAGACTTTTTTGTTCGTTCCCCTGATGTAGCTTCCATAGAGGTTACCATCAACCAGTTTTTCTGTGCTGATAGCAGGATCCTGAGAAAAGATTAGAAAACAAAGACCACAAAAAACTTAGGCAACGAATGTAATAATAGCACAGAATAAGTAAAGTATAATAATAGCTATGATAGTATTTACAAGGGAAAAAGAAAAAGTTATATGCTTACCAATATAATAATATATTTTTGTCCATGGTCATGCATATCAGATGCAAAATTAGGGAGATCCTGAAACGCCACTTTGTCATAAGTAAAATCTTTCTTTTTCTCCATATAGTCAATATCAGTGATCTGAGCATCCTGAAAGAGAAGGGAGTCCAGCTCTAACAGGAGAAGTGCTAGGTAAAGATTTTGTGTGTTAGTCTAACATAATTTCTTCTGACAATTCCCATATGTCATCTAGTGAATTTACTGTTGGGACTTTACTGCAGCCTGGCACAAAGTGTGTTGTCAGGACCTCTTGCAAACAATGTGCATCTCTCCTTATACTTACACTTTTAATGGTACTGACAAATCTTTTGTGCCTAAAAAGAGTTGCATTAACATTAACAGAATTTAAATTAATGTGTATATTATTTGCCCTTCAAATAGCCTCTAGACATGTGGCTGTTTTATTGCCTGACTTCAAGAGCTATCCCCTTAAATCCAAACATTTCTTCCTCAACTCTTAGCTCAACATGAGGGTATTTTTATTCAATTTAAGCCATCAGACTAAAGTAATCTAAAATTTAATTTTAAATGTTAATTGTACTTTACTTGGCTGTCAATTAAGAATAATATATGGTTCCATAACTGTCTACAGGACACTTAAAAAATAAATCCATGGAGTAAGTAACATGATAAAAGCATATATTTGGGAAGTATAACTGAAAAAAATGTTACAATAAGGTGCTCAAATAAAACTTACTGTAATTAAGCTACACCATATCCCACATTCTACTAATTGGTATACTATTAAAATGCACAAAGACGTTTAACACCAGAAGCCTGTGAGTTAGGAAGGTACTAATTTAAACTGATGTGAAATGAACCAGCTGCAGAACACCATGGTCAGGATCTCTGGGTCATTTCTGCTGCAGAGCTCTGCCCTCCTCAAGCTCCATACTTACATAGGGGAGTCCAACCGCCCTGTTCCTCTTCACAACTCTCTTCACCTCTTCCAGAGACCCGTAATTCCAGCGGCTGAGCTGGAAGCCCAGGCTCCAGTAGGAAGGCAATAGTGGTAGTCCCACGAACTGCAAGTTGAGAGTAATGTTACTCTATGATCTTTCACATTTAAGAAACACAAATATTCTGGGATAATGCCCATTCCTTAAAGTGTCAGTGAAACCTAAGCAGATCTCAAGAAGTACAAAAGATACCAAACATAGCTTATGACTGAACGATGAGATACTTGTAAGCACATTATCCCACAATATTGCCATATGAACAGGAATTTGTCCTTATAACAAGAGTATGCCTCAGCAAGGAAAGGTAAGTTATTCTATGTAGACCATCTCTAGCTGAAATGATCACTGTGAAAATGTCAGGCCATACAGAGAAATTAATTTAGCAGCTGCAGGCCTTCTGGGCCTTGAGCTGCTGCATGTTGTCTGCTCCAGCACCTGCAGCAAAAGTAGTGCTTTGGTTTCAGCTACCCATAACAGGCCAGCTAAGAACATCCACACAGCTGAACTCCAGTCAGCTATTACTGATGACAGCAGTCCCTTGAGGGACACTCTAACGGCCATTATTAGTTAAATATATACTGAGTCATAGTCTCAGTTAATAGATAGCATAGTGAAGACATACTGTCATGAAGAGGCAGAAAAAAACTCATCACAAAAATCCCAAGCCCTTTGAAAAATACATTATCTCTCTAGCTAAAGGTACCTTCAAGTACTCCTGGACTACTTCCTCTGGAGTGTTCCCCAAGAAGACATAGAAATCAAGGATCCCACCAATGGTTCTGTAGGTCACTGCTGGAGCAGGCTGCACTGCAAACTCTGCCGGGCATGAGAGCACAAAACCAGCTCTGAATCCATGCTAAAGTAACTGTGGAGTTTTCTAAATGATTGTTAGAAAATATACTTAAGAAAAAAGCATACAATAAAATACCTAAGGAACCCAAATCCATTAGTTGAACTGGTAATGAAGGGGAAATGTAGTCAGATGACTCCTTTAAATGTCCATATTGCCATTACATTACAGCCTACAGAGAATCAGAAGAAATCCAATGGCTTAACCTTTTATCTTTTTTTAGTACTGCTTTCCAGCCACAAGAGATGGGAAGAGCTCTGCAAAGCACACATGCACACATACTTTTCTAAAGAGACTAACGGGCATTTACTTTCAAATATTTTTCACTCCAAACTTAGGCTCAGATTCCAGTGTCCTGCACATTTGCAGAAGCTTTGGCTGGGTTTATGACCCTCTGGTTTCCAGCACAGCCTTCATGTTAACTGTGAGCTACTTACTGCTTAGGTTGTGTGCACTACACTAAAGTTTTGATTCTAGTCCCACAAGTAATTAAAAAAGATATTTAACTGCAGTGTTCAGAGCTACAGAGAAAGCTTTCTTACCCATGGCATTGCTGTTCATTAGGAAAACACCAAAGGAGGCTCCAGTCTTGTCTTCCAAACACAGGAAGAAAGTTTGAACTCCATATAAGTTATGCATTGCCTTAAAGGAGAAAAAGAAAAACTAAGCTGGGTAAAATCTAAGGAGCACTTATATGTTCTGGGATCTTTCAAAATACATCACAGGAAGAACCTGAATCTTCTCAAAATAGAGCAACAACAAAAATGAAAATCCTGACACTTTCCTACAGCTCCATTTGCTCTTTCCTGGCATCTTTCTCCTTTATGGGAACATTTTGCATTAAAACATAAGTTGCTCCAAATATATAGATAACAGAAGCAAGCAGCTATGATGAATCTCCAGGCAAGTCTGCATATACTGCAGTGCTATTTCTGTCTAATATATGTGCACATCAAGTGAACAATAGAACTTGAAGGGTGTTTTCATCACCTTTCACCACAGATTAGATTTTCCATCTAATTTTACAAATTTAGATTTTTACATCTCACCTGTAGTTCTATTAATCCTGTAAGGTAATCATTTTTATGTCTAATCTATGGAAATAAGAGAGTGCCTTGCTTCTTTTTAATCTCCCTTCTAATGTGTTTTTGTTTCCCCCCCCTATTATTATTAGCAACAAAAACCTTAAAAATTAAAAAAATAATAAAAATAAAATGTTGCAATAGCTGTGCTTCTTCCCTTGCAAAAGATAACTGAGAACAAATTAATGAACTTGAGCAACTTGAAATTAGCCTAACTTGGTTCTGTTCACTGTTAGTTTAATGACTCTATGCTCCACAGAGCCATTCAGGTAAGAACTATCTGCAGATCAGAGAAGATAGTGAGAAGGTGTCTCAAGGTAAGGGACAAATTCCAAGTTATTAACTGATTACATATAGTGGTGTCACACCCTAGTTTCTGTTACTATAGCTCCTGTTTTAGTAAAACACTGAAGTAGGCTGTCAAAGGAAACCCTGTGGGTAGTTGCTTTATGAAAGTAAGGTAATAGCAATACTCTCAGAGTTATTGATAAATTAATGCCCTTGGAAGCGTTTTGGAAAGAGACACCCATACAGACTATAAAAAACAACTGTTAAAGAGAACTTTTCCATAATTTGCCCAGATATAAGGATGTTCACTGCAGCACATGTCATCTCTACTGAATGCTGCACACAGCAATGCATTAGGATATATTGTCACTTATTTTCTTTATCAGTAGCAACTGAAGACTCATATATTAATGTTTATCAACTGGTTTTCAACTGCACATCAACACAAAAATCAAAATATTTGTAAAAAGCTATTCCTCAAGGAACTCTGATCAGTACCACCTGGCTCTTAGCAACAACATGCAGTGCCTAGCAAATCTCTGGGGAAAAGAGAGTTCTTATTAATGTGTCTACTGCATCAATAGCTGGGATTCCAGAAGTTATCTGCAACAGCGAAGCTCAATCAAACCAGTCCTTACTCCAGAGGGGCCAAGATCCTTGCTGAACATGGGCCAGGTTTTCCAGTTCACATCGTGCTGGTACTGCTTATGCACGTGCTCTCCCACACCATAAATGTTCTTGCTGGGAAGTTTGATGGACAGCTGTAAAAACTGGTCAGCATACTGAAGAGGTCCAATAGTAGTATCAAACCTGTTGGGAGAATTAAAAAAAAAAAAAAAAAAAAAAAAGAAAGAAAGATTTTACCAAGAATTGTTGCCATAATTGTTTCTACTTCTTTCAGTCAGAGCTGGGTGGCAGGTTGGTGTCTCCACCCAGAGATCTGAAGGAGAATGAGATGGGAATGGTGTAGGGCTGGAGCACAGCAACATTTGCCCTCCCTCTTCCACCACAGCTTCCCACTGTGCAGCTGTTGCCCTGGCTCCTGAATGGTCACTCACAGGAATGGGGCAGAAGGAAGATTTCCATGCGTGGGCAGAAACACAATAATAATCCACTCCATCACATTCTGCAAACCAACTGCAGCTTTGGTTTGCTGACAAAAATGAACAAAACCCACTCTTGAGTGCTGCTGGGCCAGTCACTACCAGGAATGACAGACTATGGCCACATGCTCTCAAATAAACTGGGTGTAGATGAGGACAGATTAAAGTGATAGTGTGACCCTCAGCATGGTTCAGACATTCAGTTTCTGTCTGATGGCTTCCATGTCTCCTGTGGAAAATTCTGCATCAAACAACTGGTGAGCTTTTTAAGGAATGTGAAGTTGGTGGTGTTGAACATATATACAGAGACTACTATGTATATCTGTACAAACAGAACAAGCCAGAGATCAATATTCCTCCTTTACATCTATATGCAAAACACACAGTAAAAGTAAATTCATTAATAACATTTCTTCTGTGAACTTAATTTTGTACCCTTCAGCACTGCTTTTCATCACAGACAATTCCAGTTTCAAATAAAGATTATGAGAACTTTAAATACTTAGGCAAAACCTACTTCCAGTCCTTATTCCTATGGGAAGCACTCAGCAACTGTTTGGAAACTGGAGCAGAGCTGACAGAGAGCAGGAGGCAATGGGCTCAGAGCAGCGGGCTCACTCATGCACTCTCCTTCCTTTAGCTCTGCTGAGCTGTCACAGTGCACCAGGCTCTAGACTCCTTTGACTCAAGGCTTCAGGCTGTGACCCCACCTTTGGTCCCCGATGGTCCAACAAAGTTTCATGGTGCATCTTATGTACCCTCCCTCCTGATGAATGGAGGGGACCATCCATAGGGATCTTCTTCTACAGCCAGACATGTGCCCACAACACTGTCAAAATGTGGTCATTTTCGATTGTGTGACAAGAATGGTGGGATTTTGGTCGTGTTTATCTTAGCAAGACAATTAAATGTCTCCCTAAGAAGCAAAGTGCACAGGAAACGTGGAACTACTTTGCATTTTCTGAGCATCACCAAATATCACCCCAGGTAAGGGTCCCCCACAACTCATGGAATCAATCCAAGAATTAAACTTAATTATTTTTATATTTTAGAATGCTCATTTTTCACTTTCATTCCTCTAAGATGTGAAACACTTCCAACTGGAAAATGTATCATAATTGACCCCCATCCAGCATCTGCTTAACTTTCTGTCAGTTACCCCTTTTCACATGAAAAAATCATAAATAGAAAGAAATTGTGTGTTACACCAGATTTAAAGCAGAGAGCAATTGGGATGAGGCTCATTCTAAGATTTGACGGTTATCTTGAGCTTCATTAAACCAAGAGCTTAGAGGGATCCGCAGAAACTCAGTCTTTCCCTGAAAGCCAAGAAAATAACTTACTTTGAGACAGTAAAGTACTTCAAGCAAAAAAAAACAACAAACAAACAGGAGAGTTTGGGCTTGCTACAGTTTTAATCTGCTCAATTATCTTTTCTCCTTTCAAAAAAAAAGTTAAAAATGCAAAGACTTCAGAGGGACTCAGAGGTAAATCCTATCCTACCCTCATCTGATGTATTCTGTCCAGTTTTAATGATTCAAGGACTATCTTGCCCATCTGCTCACAAACTGTACTGAAACCTGCTTTCTTAGCAGAGGGAAAGTCTGTATTTCCAGTCAAATTATGGCAGCCTTCCTGGGGGCCTTGCAAAGGAGGGTGATCAAAGGTCAGTCACACCTCTGACTCTCTTGGGGGCTCAAGTGCAACAAAGGACAAAGGAAGGTCACAGGCCTGAGAACCCTCTGGATAATTGGGATTGTTGTCATGAACTCTAATAACACACTGATCCTCACTCTTCCAGAGAGCTCTCCCTTTGGTTTGGTTGCTCAAGAGTTGGGGAAAAGCACTCACCTTCTGTGAACCAATTTGGCAAGGATTTCTCTCTGAGGGGCTGCCCTGATCCCAAGCTAACAGCAGCTTTCTCTGAGATACCCAAACTCAGAGTTCAGCAGCACTGTCATGCTTTTTCTTTAGAGACAGAAAATGCAACCACTTCCATCAAATTAAGCACAAGCCCAAGGAAAATACAGACAACCTTCCAGAGCACTGTTTCAGCATGGTTCTGTTGCACTAGGTTCCTTATTTCCCCTCCATACACCTATTTCATCAGTCACACACAACTGAATACCAAGTCCATCTTTTGTGTTCTCTCTAATTGCAAATCAATCATTATAGAGGATTCCAAGCAAGAAAACAACACTAATAAGAGCACAAAAGTAATAGCTAATTAATTAAACCTGAAGCCCTGAGAATCCAGCTGGCCTAGCACTCTGACAGGTAATCATTCCTGGACTGATTTAATAAGCATGTTGATCCTGACACTTCCCCCTACTGAAGGGCCTTAGAACCATGCTGTTAAGTTCATAGGTTTTATTTATTTATTTATTTATTTATGTATTGTACCTAAATTGTATAAAAGCATTAGATGTGCAAGTATGTAAAATATTTCACTTACATTATTGCATGACCAGCTAGTAAGTGGCTTGCACCACCTATCCTTGGATAACCATAGGTCTAAAGGGCATCCTGGTTTTGGTGATTCAGAGCTTCAGCATGATTAGGACAAATAAGATAAAAGACACAATGAAGAGTGTTCCCATGTGATTTCAGACACTGACAAGGAGTCCTTCAGGTAATAAAAATGCCATGAATTGACAGAATAAAGTAGCTGTAAAGATTTCCTTAGTATTTAGGGAAAGTGAACTGAGACCCTTTTAGACAGAGCTTTACATATCACAGACTTTCCAAAGGCCTCACAAGAGTCACAAGAAGAGAAGAATAAGATTACATGTGGAAAGGGGCATCCTGAACATACACTGCTTGCTTGGTAACCTGGCTTTCAGTGTTAGTAACATCTGTGTCAGTCAGAAGTGTCACCAATGTCACTTACAGCACTCTGCCGTTGCTCACTCTGGTCACCACGATGCCAAAGGGGTTGGGCTTCACCTCCACTTTATACTTGAGATCAGAGGCTGCAGATCCAGTGAAAGGTTTCACATGCTCATGGGGGACTTCAAATCGCTCTTTATTAGGATCAGTGATCTGCATATATTCAAACAACAGAAGTGTTGGGCCTTCAAAAATACTGTCTAATTAAAAAAATTTCCAGCATTAACCTATGGTTCTGACTTAGACATTCCCACCCCTATCCCAGTCTCCTCTTCTGCCTACGTTGTTACTCACACTTTCAACTTTCATCACTCATTTCAGCCATTTCCCTCATAATACCTGACCCTGTGTTTCCCTGGCTCACCAGAACCCACCACAAGAGGAAGGTCTCCTCCAGAAGAAGCCCTGCTCAACTCCAGAACTCATTGATACCCCACATTCATGGGACTGTTGAAATTACCAGAGAAAACAGAAATAATTGAAAGAGCTAATGGTGTCTGTCAAAATGATTAAAAGACATGGCCAGGCCATAAATAAAAAGTAAGTAAATATATTTCAGTGATTTTTAAGGCAGAAATCCCACTGTGCTAAACCCTTGGTAACCTGATGCACTGCAACAGCATAGAGGGCTGAGCACTTCAGTGGGAGTCATGAGAATGCATCAGAGGGATTAATCCAGCCCTCCTAACCTCACTGCCCAGTAACACTCAGCCTAAAACCTTGCACAGAACATGAGCCTTCCACCAGCAGAGACAAAAAATGAACCTTGAAGTGGAAGCGATTTGGTGTCTGATACTCTGCTGTGAGGAGGACGGTGTTGACATCATTTCCAAAGAGGGTAGGTGATGGCAGCCTGGTTAATGTGGTCTCAAATCCTTGTGAAAAAAAACACATGTTGCAATATTACCATGTTGAACTGGACATGGGCATGTGCATAAATTGGGAAACTCAGCCTGCAGCTTACCTGCCTGAGTTGTTCTTGTTGACCCATCCACTTTGTATCCATGGTTTGAAGAGAAAAAACACCAGGGTACACTGGTATCACTCTGGGGACTCCAGCAGCAGCCACGCTGTTTGCAGGTGCTCTGATTTAAGGACATGAGGAGCATAAATTAGTTGATTTTACACAAATGAATCCTCTGTATTAAAACATTTACAGTGCATATGGAGTGTATTTTACCCCAAGCCCCAGAAATCTTAGTAACATCTGCAATCAGATCAACTCCTTTTCTGAAACTCTATTGAGTGAATTTAATGATACAGAAAACACTAAATAGAAAGCATATTCTTCTGGATTCAGACTAGAAACTTGCTTATTAGGCATTCACTTTTCCTTAATACCACAAAATCCATAGGCAAAAATTAACGTTTAAAAAAATATATATTATTGAAACATTTGAGCTGTGACAGATGCAGTACAGTCTGACCAAAAGGCACACACTGGAGAGAAAAATTATAGTTGGCTTAACATCTGGTAAACATCTCATTAAACATCCACGTATGCACAAGTCATCATTATAATATGTATAACATGTACATTTTAATGTAATTTTGCAATATCAGAAATGTTCAGATTGTTTCTACAGAACCTCAGGTTGAGATAAATAAACCTTTTTCCAAAAAATCCCAAGCAAACAAACCTGTTGTTCAAAGCATGTATTTCATTGTAGTGGCATCAACCTTTACACAACCTTTCAGCAGTCCAATAAGCTGCAGTACCTTTGCTTTGCTGTTACAAATTAACGTGAGTTTTATGTTTGAAGATAAGATTTGGGTAGCACATCACTTCAGTTTTCTCACATTAAAAACCCAACCCATGAGTTAGGGCAAAGGGCAGTAGCAATACAAGCTCCACTGAGAGCAAAGGGCAGTGTTCAGAAGTGATCCTTGGTCTCCAAATCCAGCATGAAGATCTTCAAGACCTTCCCCTCTACCTACCCACTAAGAGAAGCTGTTCTGCCTTCACCTGATTGTGCTCAAATGGTTTTGGTGTTTGTGCCATGCTTATTTAAAATATTCTGCAGCTTGAAACAGATGGAGATGGTCTGAAAAACTCTGTTGCTGCTGTCCTTGGTGGCCCTTAGTCTTGAGTTATAGAGACCAACCTGATTAGTGCATGTCAAATGCCTTTCTCAGCCTCTGAAAGGAGCAAAGATAAGCCAGATCCAGGCCAGAAATCATGCAGGGGAATATCCTAAATGCGTAAGAACAGAGTTTCTACCTCCATCTTCTTATCCCTTCCTAGAGCACTGACTATCCCATGCAATGTCAAATACCCTGAACAACAGGTTTTCCTAAATCTCCTAGTTGAAGTGTCTGCATTCCCAACTTCATAAGCATGCTTTTCTTCTTCCTCAGCTACTTCTCACAAATACTCATTGACTATTTTCAGCAGTCCCTTTACAGTCCAGTGATATTCCTCTAGCTAGATCTGGTTCTAGTGGATTTGTAACCTACAGCTCTGCTTTTCATGGCACATTGAGCTTGATGCATAAAGAAAGAAATACACAAATGCAAGATTGGTTATGCCTGGCACAGGGAAAGGAGCAGAGTTCATCCAAAGGCACTGGAGAGGCAGTTATAAAAGCTATCATTCAGTGTAAATAAAGATGTGAGCTGATCACAGCCTCTCAGCTGTAAAACCAGAGTAATAGATACCAACACCCAGTAAAGCCAAAGAGAAAGTTAGAGCTTATTTAGACGTAATCCCGGATTTGAGGCAACAGCTTAGCTGGGGTAGAGTATGAAATGGCTTCTGAACACTGAACTGAGCACCAAAGATTAAAAGAATAGCTTGTGTATGTGCTGAACTAAAATGTTTCTCTTAGGTGTACCCAAACAAACCTGCCAGCAGGATATTTGGGGAAAAAAACCCACACAAGACAAAATAAAAGCAGCAATACACCTTCCCCCAAGGTGTCAGGGGTATCAGACCAATGATGGACAGATGCTCCACTCATGGTAGTTCATTTTTTACTTGTGTATTCTTGTCTAATCAAACTTCACAGCAATTTTCCACAGCAGTGAATAGTTATAAAATACCTGCTTTCTTTCAGTAGGTCTATCTTCCCCAGTCCTGTGATCAGCTAATAAATATCTATTTGCTTTTCATACTTCTATTCTCTGCAACCCCACTCATTTTCTGGCTCCATCTAGGACATCTTCAGTGAATACAGAAATCAAGGCAGACACTAACCTGCTCTGTGAGCCTAGGAAAATCATAATGTTCTCAGATGCTGTTTATTCTGAAAACTGCTGATGGAAACCACTACAGGGAGTTATATTCTTTCTAACTGAGTACCTGTAGTTTTACAGATCTGCTGGTTGCTGTATTAGAACACCCTAAATGCTTCCAGGAGAAAATGTGTATAGGAACATCCCCCCCAGTCCACTGGGGTGGGACTGGTTTGTGCCAAGAATGCACCTAACAGCTTTCATCAGGGCACAGGTTAAAGCTGATATTTATCTCTTGTCCTGTGAAATCTGCTGCCTGGTCTTCACTAAGAAAAAAATATGTTCAGGAATCACTTACTTTGCTTCTAATTCCAGAGCAAGTTCTCTGATGTTCAAACCTGTATCTGGCCCTACTTTTCTGCTGGTATCTAAAACCTGATTTTCAAAAATTCTTTCAAATTGGTAATGGCAAAAAGCCAGGGCAGACTTAACAATAGAGTTGCAACCAGAGCAAAACTATTTCTCACTGTCTGATGAGTACAGCACTTCACATGGAATGACTGGTTCAAAGGCGGTAATTAAAGATGAAAGTGATCTGCATGACTGCTACTAATGTGGTGTGCTTGCTTCTGGGTGGAGGAACCAAAAAAGTAGAGGAACAGGCTGTGAGCTGAGCCTTTACTAACCTGTTTGCCCACAGGACTGTATGGAACTAGATATAACAAAACCCATGGCATGACAGAAGCTTTAACAACTGTCATTTTTTTGGAATTAGACTGGGAATTACTTCAGGATTGAGAAAGGTCTTTAATCATACTTCACACCTCTGGGAATGACATGAACATCATTAATTATTTTTTTCTCCTAAGCTGCCACTCCAAACCAAAGAAAGACACCAGGCATCCACAAGCTTCCATCAGAAAATGAGAATATCCACCATAAATGTTAAAATTAAATAATCATAATAAAAATGATATAAGCCTCTCAAGACCAACCAGTGCAAAAATGGTCTGAATATGAGAGCACTGGGACGTGAAGGTGATAATTTTCACTGGGAAACTTAATTCATAGATGCTTAAGCCTAAAGGTAATTCCTAAACTCTGCACCCTCCCAGGTAAGAGACACCACAACCAATAAAGACACTGTGATTCAAACTGGTTGTGAAATGAAACTTTGACTCTGTCTCTTATAAAAGTCTCATGCATCCTCACTTGCTATTTTTGAACTATTACAAACGCTAATAATTGACCATCAGACAAAAAATAAACTGCTTAGGCAAAGCTGTTAAAACTAAATAGTGACTTTATAAACTGCTTGATGTCTAATTTTGTTTGCACTTATCCCAAAACCAAGCTGCTTGGGAGTACTTTAGCAGTGGTCTTCAACCTTTGACAGGAAACTGCTGCAGTGGCTAGAAAAATCAGACCTCCTGTCAATGGGCTGAAATGGGTTATACAGGAATTACCCTCCCCTGCAAAATGTTCAGGGAAACACAGATTTAAAAAAAGGTTAAGAAAACAACTGATACAGTAGAGACAAGTTAATTTTTCGCAATTAAGAAAACAGATAAAGCCTATTTTCTATTTTCTTCCACAATGTTTTCAGACCTTTGTTGCTACTTGATCCGGGATGCAGTCAATTCTCTCTGCTATTAATATGTTGGGACATTCTGGTGAAAATTCTGTCAGGAAAATAAATGAATAGGTTATTAACAGGATTTTAAAAATATAGGAATAATTTGGTTACCTCTTAATGCAATAACTGTTTCTGCTGGCTGCTTTTCACCATCTTGAAATTCTAAGCACTACTATAGATTTAAATGAGTGGAAATTATTGCTAGTGTGATTTATTTTTACTTTTGAAAAATTGCACACAACTGTTTCAGATAAAGGTAGGACAACTTCACTTTAAAGTTTTTCAGCATATGGGTGACATTGATAATTCTATTTTTTAAGGCATATATGAATCCAGTTCTCAGGAAGTCCTGTAGCTCAATATAAATTGTTTCTTGTGAAAATACATGCCAAATTAAAACTGGAAGGACTTTTCTTTTTCTTAAATGGCACTTGGCTGCTGCTCTCCCAGCTGTTCCTTCCTCTGAAATACCAGACCTTGAATCACAGCATGAGGTAAAAGCACCTTAAAGCTCCATTAAGATGCTTCATTAGATTTCACGTTCTTGGGAACTTAAGCTGATGAAAGGGTACCCAGTGGTAGCAGGAAAAACTATAGGTTTTTATGGTTTTAATGTATGTTCCACACAATTTGGTTGCTCCCACATAGTCTTCCTGATGCTTTTTTTTTTTTTTTTTTTTTTTTGTGTTTTTTAATGTTCAAAACTTTTGAAATCATATCAGCTCTGTGTTTATAAAATAAGTGCAGGGATAAAAGTGGTTGTTTTTTCATGACAATAAATCCCGAGTCAAACTATTTATTATATTTGTAACTGGTAATTTGTGTTATCTGCAGGAAGGATTGACCATAATTCACCTTTGGGTAATGATAAAAACAGAACAGTAGCACTAAGAGTCAGTTCTTTACAGTGCTTTTTAAAATAAAAAATAAAAAAAAAATTATATATATATATAACAGCTCTAACAGTGATTTAGTTTTTTTCTCACTTGAATGTCCATGTTCTTGAAAAATCTAAATCAAATAGTGAAGGAAATGATGCCAACAATTAGTTCCTGAAGCTCTATAACATTTACAATAGTCCCAGTAAGCAAAGCTGAGCATGTTTTTGCCCTGGTCCTGAGAGCAGCAATGGGAAGCACTTACCCTTAGGTTTCACTCCAGATTGTCCTGATGCTAAAAGCCCTATGAGGACACAGGCCACAGCAGACACCAGGCAGAAGAGGCCGATGAGGCTGACTTCCAACCCACTGAAATTCTTCTTGCACATCTAGACCCAGAGTAACACACTTAGTATAAAGAAAGCACAAGTAACAGCTTTGAAACTCTGTCAATTCAATTATTAATTTAATGAACAAGCAAAAATTTAGAACTGATTCAGGTTTAAAACCATGGCCTGTAGTCCCAGCATTAAAATAACACACTCCTTAAGGACTATGTGCAGTACATCAGGGTAACTCACACAGCACAGATTACTGCTCTACTACACTAGTGGGCAATCACTGAGATTTTCTTTTTTTATATACACAAAGAGCAAATTTCTCCTGAGATTAACTATGGAGTTTCTTATGTTACTGAAATTCCTGAAATGGAAAAGAAAGAAATCCTCTTCCTCCCCACCCCCCCTTTTAAAAACAAAACAATAAAAACAAAACAAAATAACAATCAAACAAACAAACCTTTTCTCTCCTTCTTTAGAACAAACTATCTCCTTTTCTATAAAGGAGGATGGGGATTTGTTCAAAGCATATTTGACAAAACTTCTAATGAGCTCTGATATCAAGCCCATGACATGTAGGAAAGACACAACGAACAGAGCAAATTACTTATTTATCAAGTGGAAGAATATATCATGTATAAACCCATGTTAGACCTGGTAACTTTTGAAATCACAACTGAACTGAAGGAGAGGATGTAGGTGGAGTCAGTGCCTTAAAATGCTGTGCAAAAGTCCTGGTTTATCCAGTATTGCTTTGCTGTGAGGCGCAGCAGAGCCAGGCGTGCTCAGCCCCGTGCGAACAACAACACGGTGCCATTAACGGTGAACTGTGCCCCAGCAATAAAGCTAATTCAAACTAACCTCCAGCATCCAGATCAATGTACATGGGCAGCAGCTACTGCACTTTCTGTTTGGTTAAGGGCTTTTATCCTTATGAAACAGCCTTAAATACAGAGAATTGGTTCTTTTTAGGTAAATCATGAAACTCTGGGAATCCATGTACATTGCACCAGTGCATCAAAATCACATTCCCATGTTTTAGAGATGACCCAAAGACTGAAAAATACTATAGAAAAAGGGTTTTTTTGGTGTGTGTAAAAACAGTTTAAGTCTACTGTATATTCTTGCCTCCCATTTCTTCCAAGTATAACCCACCACCCAACCTGCACCCCTACTCATGGAAATCCTGTGGCCACAGAAGTGAATGAAGGGTAAAAGCAATACTGGCCCCATCAACGTCCCCAGAAGGGTAAAGCTCATACTTAAGATAATCAAGGGCTTTTCAGCAAGGGGAATAAGAAACAACCTTTTTAAAAAGAGATAGTACAGTTCATATTTTTTTCCATTAGTAGCAAGGTTTGCAGCCATTTTTATTACGTTTATTGGTAATCCCCCAGGGAATATTTTACTTAATGCCTGCAACCACACTGTAAGTCTAAAGGCACACAGCTTAAGGCCTGTTCTTTATGATGAAGGAATGATCTTCCAGCAATTCCACCCCTGAGTTCTCTCAGTCTTTGTCTGAATATATGTTGACTAGGAGTCCTAAAAAGTTATGTTAAATTTCCTGACAACTAGAATTTTATTAAAGTTCTTGTCATCAAGCCTTCCACCCAAACCCCTCCAACTATAATGTTGCATTTCAGTTGTTTCTTTCTCATGGTCTCCCCCAAGAACAGACTGAAAATAAAACTTTATCATTTACAAACTTAAGTTCTATTGAGTGATGTGTACGCAGCAGTGAGGTAAAGATCTCCAGAAACTTGGATTCAGTAAAACAAGTGACATACCTTAAAGTCTCTCTGGTTCCTTCATCTGCTGCTCTTGATTGTAAAGTTCAATTCAAAGCTGATGCTTTATCCTGTGCTGTTATCAGCTCTCAACATTGTTTGCTAAGCCACCTGCCAATGGCAGGCACAGACAGAATCACAGGCAGATTGCAGAAACTCTCTGGACTAATAGTTATTATTGCAGACAAGGAATGTCTGGTTAATTACTAATATTTTGGTTCAATATGACACATCAGATTCTGCATGAGAGAAAAGCAGCCATAAAATGCCAATAAGCTTATCCATGTTGCATACCAAACAGTTTTTATTCTCTTCTTCTTCCACATCTTTGTTACTAGAACCTTCACAAAACCTTCACATTCTTTGTCTATCATTTCTGCTTTAAGCACACAAGTCATCAAATGTTCCTAAATGAGGAAAGAAGCTGTTAAAATAATTGCAATGGGGAACTGAATTTATGATCATTAAAACTTTTTAAGGAATGAAATATAAAATATTAATTTTAAAATTAATATAAACAGATTTAATGAGATGCTAACAATGAATGTCAAAAGCAGAAGAAAGATCTGAAAAAAGACATGGAAAATATTTTATAGAGAAGAGGCTTCAATTGTAATTTTAATATTAAACCTTCACATATAACTGGGTTTTGTCTTTTTCTCACAACAGAGAGATAAAATATTAACACTAAATGTTTATTTTCCAGAGGAAAGCTTTCGGTTCCTCCTATTAAAGTATTTAATAAAGTACAAAGGTATTTTTCAGTAATACAGAAGTGGCTGAGAAGTGCCACATATTTTTTGAACCGTTCAAAAATTTATTCCATTTCCTCAGTATCTCACCTCTGACTGTGAAGTGAGGGAATGAGATGTGTTCTCTCTGAGCAGAAAGGGAATGGTCCTTTTTTCTTTAGTCAGCACTTGAAAGAAAGAAAATCAATCATACATATAGATCACTGGGGCTCTCCTGTAACCATCCATCCTTACACAAATCAATGCCACCATTCTCCACGACTCTGTTTTTGAAATGCAGCCCTTTATTTAGCTATCTTACCCTCTCCACTTCATTATAACATCATGCATGTCTGCATGTGTGCACTTCAGCTCTGGAAACGTAATTCTAACCTCCCTCTCAATATTGCTAAATATGCTGCTTTATGAGTGCACATTGAGAAATAATGGTTTCACATGGATTAAAAAGGTATCAGTGGTTTGGGTGGCCTGGGGGTTGTGTTTGATGTCTTTTTTCCGAGGTTTATCTCTTCATTTAACTGTTACAGGAAAGTACTCAGTCTGGCAAAGCATATGGCCATGGGTTTCCTTCAAACATGTCTGCAATCACTCTGCCATCAATAGAACCATTTGCTTAAGTGCTTTCCTGAATTCACAGTGCTACAAACTTATCAATCACCTGGTGAACATTTTCTATGCAACTTAAAGCATAAAAGCACTGAACAAAAAGGTCTCACAAGAGGGTTAAACAGCAGGTTTCCTAGCTGAGTATATTTTCATTAGTTTACAAAGGATATCAACAACAGGGCTTTCAGGTCAAGATATGATATTGAACTCCAAGAAGTGGAGAAGGCTTTTCAGTGAGGGACACTGAAAGACCATTAAGACAACCGAGGACCCTATTATATCAAGAGCTGGAATGGTGTGGTCTCTGCTGTGAACTGCTTTGGCTTCCAGGGATTAAGAGCTGATTTGTTTCTGACAGCTGGTAAGAAGAACTACTAGAAGCCCAGGAATACAGGTTGGACTGTAGAGAATTGTGTAGCAAAAAAAGCCTGGAAATTAAGTAGTGTTAAAAAGGTAGTAATTTAAAAAGTGACATTTATCTCTTAGTTATCAACATGTCCATTTTTAATTAAATCAGATATAACTTAAAAAACTTACTTTAAGTGACAGTTTGGAGCCCTTAATTTAAAAACTTGTCAGCTTGTCATAGTTAGCTCCCTGGTTGTATTCATTCAGACAGTTGTACTAACTGAGTTTTCATCTAAGGGACCATAAAGGGACCATAGCTTACACTTTCTCTACAGTTTCATATTTGCTTTTTCACTGTTTCAGTGTCCAACATTTACTTTAAGTGACAGTTTGGAGCCCTTAATTCCTGCCAGAAGCTGACTGCAGATTACCAGTTCAGTCAGGGACACAATCATTAACTATCATGGAAGGACATCTAACAGGAGCACAACCACGTACTTCCCACGTGCAGTGTTTGTTGCATGGCTGTAACCACTCTGCAACCACAGTTCAGCAAACTGGGAGCTCTTCGTAGAGCTTTGGTCATATTCAAGGAAGGAAGAAGGCTGAGCAGTTTTTACAGGCAGCAATGGGGAAACCTGTGTTCAAACACTCAGCTCTCAATCCTGGGAAAAAGAAACTACCTTGATTTACCTTCTGCACACGACAAGGCACCTGCCAGCTGAGGTCTCCTCCTACTCTGAAATACTAGATGCAGCCCTTGCTCCTTCAGAGAAAGGAGATATCAGCACTTATCACCTTTCTGTGTACAGAAGAGCAAGGGACTGTTCAGTGCACAGAGTCATAGGTCTGTGCTCCACTCCCAGGTCAGCTACTCATTAGCTGACTGTCAGCTGCCAATCATGCACATATCATCTGCTTGCTTCAGGATTTTTCCATATGGGTAATTAAAATAGTTCTGTGAATGCTTCTGAATCTTCAGATGAGAAGCACTGTGTGAAAGAAGGATAATGGTCTTACCAAGACACAGCATGATATAAAACCAGACAAAGAGGGGAAAGCTTCAGTGAGAGCTGCGAGAAGATTCTGCTTTAACAACTTCTACAGTTCAGGTCTGAACCGATTTGCATTACTCTGGTGTGAACAGAACATGGCACGCCCTCACTGAAACACAGATGTCACTGTGAAGTCACATTAAGTGAATTATAGTTTGATTAGTGAGGTATAGAGTTTTTTACCTAGAAAACAGAAGAGGGTCCAGGCTCTCCAAAGAGTCACTGGATTGTTATCTGAGGGAGCCTTACAACCCATGAGGCT